GCCGATGCCCCATCAACGTGGAACGACTGGCTTGAGGGGTGGCGTCTATGGTTTGGACAAGTAAATTACAACATGTGGTACGGACGCGGTGGTTTGAATGTTAAGGTGAGATGCCACTCGAACCCTCACCGAGTCCCAGTATCGCTTACACCTCCGTCTACTCGTAGAGATACTACATTTGGAAAGAGGCTCAAGCCAAAGCCCAAAAAGAACTGTGGACAGACCCCCGAGGTTACTATTTCCTCAACATCATGGTGGTTCTGCCCGAGGCACAAGGCAAAGGCGTGGGCGCCAAAATGATGAAAATGGTGACGGATCAAGCGGATGCTGAGGATATGAAGTGCTATCTTGAGTCAAGTAAAGATGTCCCCAATATGGCTATATATGGGCGATGGGGTTTCAAGTTCCGGAAGGAAATGATTTGCGACGACGATGGGGACGCTATTAGACTGTTTACAATGATTCGTGAGCCACATGCAGAGCCTGGCGATGGGAGGTAGAAGAGGAGAGGTCGGGATGAGCACAAAAAACGCTTTGGTGGTCCAACCGGAAATGCACCGCTATGAGAGATTGGCTAAAGAGCTGTTTATACCAGTATAATTTCCCTTATGTTCTTTTCCCCGCCAAAGGCACTTCGCAGACGAGCTTGGAAGTCTTCGGGTGTCTTCTTGAGCCGTTTTGTGCGTTCATCAGGCAAAATTCCCTGGTGATATGTTGTAGACTCTGGCCAGACTCCAATCATCGTAAACGAGCCTACACGGAAATAATTTCCGGGTCTTTTGACGTCCTCTATCAATGCAACGCCTTCTACATTCAAATCGCAGGTGATAATGAGTGCCAGCAATTGAACTTCAACCTTTGAAGTTCCCTGCAACCTGTGATCCTCGAAGAAGGCGGTATATATCGATGTTGATGGAGGTGCGTAAAAGCTAGAAGGTCGCGTGCAAAAATAGTTGGGCATTGATTGGCCGGGACGTTGAGAATTGTAGAAGCAGGGCATGAGGAGGCCGCGTATGTGAAGTTCGCTCGACCCAGTGTCTCTGAACGAATCAGTCAAGTGTCTTGGACTGTGAGAAATTCCGAGAAGATGGAAATCCTCGCTCTTCCTGTACTCCCAATTTTGAAAAAGGCCACTCCAGTATATTCCGTTTCGGTTGACATACGACACCCAACTCCACGATGGCCCATTCAACGAGTTGCGATATATGGGACGCATTCCCACTGCGCTCCATGCCAACCCAAGCGCGAGGTCAGACTTCCAGAGTCCACAGATGTACTGATCTCCCAAGATTGAAGAAAACTCTCTTGCTACGCTAGATATAGCAGGAAGACGGTCTATCGCAAATGTAAACTGCCGGGAGCTGTATTCGCGCACGAGGGAATACCAGCACCCGAGAACTGTAGCAGTATCAGGAAGATTGCTTTTATCCAATAGCATACTTGTGACAAGTCCCAAAGAGCGGAATGTTCCGCCTCCGCTAATCCAGCCATCATCATCTAGAAACTTCTCTCCCGTGCAATAGCAACTCCATGTTGTTTGTTGCTCGCGGTACTGTAGGCGACGTCGACTGAAAAGAGCTTCTTGGAGGGTCCATCCCCTCCGACGCCAAGGGTTTCTTCCAAGTCTCATGTCCTTTGTTGATATGACAATGGCAGAAAACGGAGTCGTTTCATTTGAGGTGGCATCCTTCCACTCAGCCTCCATCTTGAAAACAGGTTGTAGTTGTTCTCCGGGTGGCACAATGCTTTCCAAAGTCGAACGTCGCCTTTTGAGGAATCCTTCGCGAACATCGTTCGCTGTAGAGGGAATGATTGTGAAAGAAGCGTTTCGGTAAATACTACCCATCTTCTGCAGTTCCCGCACCTTGAAGGCCTCGTCGTCTTGGAAAATACAAAGCGCGTCGATCCAAAGGTATTCGAAACCAAGTTCAAATGTTGTGATCATCGCGTCTCGAATTGTTGGATCCAGCTGGGCTATCCTGATTCCCGCCTTCGACCTCAAGGACGATTCATTCTTCCGAGTCAACAAGAGACTTTGTGTTTGTTGTCCCCAGCAGTAAGACAGTGTGAGATACCGCTTTCTCATGTTGGGCGGCACCTCAACCAAGACTGCGGAGTCCCTGCTCAACACCCGCAATACCATAGTCGGCATAGAAGAGGGCAGCTCCAGAATGCCGCATCCGTGTTGGACCTCGCATTAACGTAGCCAACATTTGATCAGATTTATTGTTGCAGGGCTGCCAGGCTCCAAATTCTTGGGTGATCCCATAGGCCACGTACGCTTGTTGTCCAATTTGAACAAGTTGACTGCCAATCAAAATTCAGTGTCTATGTCCATTGTGTAATTCGAAACGAACATTCACTTACTGGGAGGCACCAGAGCCCATAGTGTAGCGCTTGATTTCGAAGCAGACCAAATTGGTGGTGAAAGGCACTCGGAGGCAAGCTGTTCACTGTTGCCTGAAGTTTCTAAAAGCTCTAACATAACTTCCAAGTAAGATTTGATAGCGTTGCTGCGAAAGGTGAGTCGTACAAGGTCTTTCGGAACACACGCAGCATTCTCTGGTGGCCTACTCCTAGGCAACGAGGAGGGATCGGCGTCTGGACGGGAATACGCTGGTGCCACATTGACATCGTTCCAGCAGACACCTAGGTATTTAACCCATAGTAGGGAATTCGTACTCTGGTTGGCGCCAGTCAAGTGAGAGCCCTGGGAGTCTGATGAGGAACCCGTCGTGGAGGGTGAAGCGTCTGGGATTCCATCCAGGATGGCTTTTGCCTTTTCATGCGCTACGACAAAGGCAATTCGATCACTGATCATGGACCAGAAGTGACAACCCAGTGCAGCCGATTTATGCACTTCCTCTTCTGTTGTTTCCAAGGAAGAATATGAAAATCCATCTGGCCACTCAGAAACCGACCCACAAAACTTGATCTTAATAGCGCTGCAGTACTGACAGCTGTGGCCTTTGGTGTCTTCAGATACGAGTCGAAGTTTGAGACGTTCGATCTCGCCGTCGATATGCCTGATTTCTTCGAAAGTGTCGGTCATCATCACAAACCTTTGTGCTTAATGGATTGACGTGCCTGGAGAGCGGAAGCGGGGTGTGAGGATTTATTCAATTCCAGTTTGTTCGTCGGAACGCCTGGGGCTGTGTAGCAAAACAAGAACTTGAGACTTGGCCAATAGTGCCATGACAAGTGTTGATTGCTGGCACAGCTGTGATTCTCAGCGAATGATAATGTAGAGGTTGCGGGAATCATAGAAATCGGCACGAGAGTTACAAAGCAGTCAGCTGCAGCCCCGGTTCATGCATTGCGTCTCCTATCTCGTCTAATTTGATTAGATCTGAACTGGGAATCATGTACTTCTGACATTTGTCAAGGAGAGCTCTAGTCACTGCGCAGTGCGCATCCAACAGTATCAAACAGGATTTCCACCTTCTAAGCTTCTGTGCGACTGGAATCCGTATCCTCTTGTCGGTTTGAGGTGATCGAACTGTGAGGGAAAATTGCTCCTGAGGTTTGAGCCCACAGCGTTTGTACCCCAGACCAGCGCAGAAGTTCCAGAGAGACGGTAGATAATACGTCACTGCTGGAGGCCCATATGGTGCGACTGGACCACTCACTACATTATGCCTCCAGTGATAACCCGGCTTTCTCCCAATCCCATCGGCAAAAGGACTATCTTTGCTGATTGGCTTTATCTCCTTACGCCACGCTTTGTACTATATCTGTAATCCACTCGCACCTGAGTTATTCAGAAGTGATTGCGGTTTTGAACACCATCAACCGGGTTCAAAGGAGAACGTAGAAATCAAAGACAGTGGGGCAGTCAACCGCACCATCCTATTTACTAGTCTGAACCAACCCCGCAGACTCGGATCGCGCTACCTTAGCATTGATCAACTGCGGGGAACACCACAGAAGCAGGGATGATATGACCGCATCTAGATAAAAAGACCGATATCTTCCATTGTTAGTGGGCTATGATGGCTTATCTCTCCCAATCTTATCATCTGTGCGATGCCGGTGCCGGACCGTTCATTTCCTCTACGACCACTTTGCGAGCATCAACCATTGTGTGCGTATACCTCTTGCTACTGTCAAGTTGTCAGCAATCGGCAGCTGCCCTGCGCATGTTATTCTTACGGTGATACAACGAAATGCAGTCCTCATCCAAAGTCAGGCACTCGAAGTCTAGAAACGGGTGTGTCAGGTGCAAGGCGAAGAAGGTAAGACTCGCTGAGAAGCCTCCAAGAATGTTATCACTTACATTGTCGTGGCAGACAAAATGTGACGAGAGGAAGCCAGGATGTGCTAGGTGTGAAGAGAGAGGCTTCCAATGCCCTGGATATGCACTCAATGTGCGGTGGTCGCGAAGGCCCCAAGTTCGGGCAGAAGGAAGTGCCAGCAAGCAGAGCGAAGCAATAGGCTCACCAAAACGTCGAAGCTTGTCTGCTTCACCGAGGGCTCCTCTTGACACCGAGACCCTCGACAACACTTATTCAAACACCGAGGGCAGCCGCCAGTTGAATTCATGGTTTGGGTTCAGCCCACATTGGGATCACCCTGTCCCTCCGGACCTGTCAAGCTTGAGCACCATCACGGATGCCATGCTAGGAATTCAGCGGCCGGCGTCTGCACTCGACTCATCGACAGAAACAACTTTCCTTTCATCGGCTCTGGACGCTGATAACGACCACTCATCATCACCATCTAATCGTCAAGAAACCCCAAAAGATAATTTGTTCGCAGAAGCCAGTTTCCCCTCCGAGGCACGATTAAGTGGATTCCAATTACCACAACGCCACGGCTTCTTTGAAGATCGCAACAGAGAGATACTCAGCATGCCTATATCAACAGCACTCATACAGCCGAATCGCGACTTGTCCACCCAGATACCTAAGGAGCTTTTCAATATCCCGACGTCCCTATCTGAATATTTCTTCCGCGAAGTTATCACACTCTATTGCGCGTGGGATAGCAAATCAAACGTCATGCGCAACATCATCGAGACCTCGTGGCAGTCTTCTGGTGCTCTCTACCACACCATTCAAAGCATGTCGGCCGCTTGTTTATCAGAAGACTTTCCGCACCTTCTACCTGTTGCGCGCCGCGAGCACCTACAAGCCCTCGAGCTGCTCCGCCAGGACTCTCTACCAACGCACAAGCAAGCTATGCTGCTCGCGTCTCAACTACTGGGCCACACGTCCAGTTGGCTCACTCCACAGAACCTAGCCACGGACATGTTCAGAACGAGCTGTGACATCCTACAAGACATCATGCTTGAAACGGGTAGAGACGCCACCATTTCGTTCTTCAGCGACACAATGGACTATTGGGCAATGCTGCTGGCCTATCTAACAGACAGCCATCAGCTGGGTGGTTACGATCGAAACTCTCCGTTTGGGCCGGCGGAGTCCACCAAGTCGGACGAACCACATCCGTATTCTGGTATCTCCCGTGATACGGTCAAAATACTCGCCGATATTGGCGTTCTCGTCTTCCAATACCGAAAGCGCATCTCCAAAGTCAAATTCCTCACCGAGAATGATATCGATGTGTTTAGAACCGCACTCAGGGATGCGCGTAAACTCGAACGTGTACTTCTAGCTCATCGCTCACCCGACCTATCCCAAGTCAAGGACCCAGGCGACCCAAAAACACCGTTAAAGCACCTGCAACTCATAGACGAGGCATACAGATGCACGGGACTCTTACAGCTCTATCGTGTGTTCCCCGACCTACTAAACGAACGATATGCCCCATGGGACAAGGACTATCTACTTCGGCCATTACCGTCCGACAAGACACCGACCGCTCAGGAGAGGCAGACATGGTTGACCAAGCTCGCAATGCACATCTTGGGTATTCTGAGGGAAATACCGTTCGAGTCTCGGACGCGCAGCGCGCAGCCGTTCATCATGGTCGCTTGCTCAAGCGAGTTGAGAAGAAATCCACAGCACTTGCGGTCTGCGTCTGTGGCCGTGGGCGACTTGGACGTGCTGGCAATTGACCCAGCTTCCATCGAGGTCGCCCGGGCACGCAAGTTCGTGCTGTCACGGCTGGCCGCCTACACTCACATTCTGCCTCTTAGGAAAAGTCGAGTAATTTCGGAGTTGATAGATCAGATCTGGTCGGCGTCGGACAGTGGAAGTACTGATGTTTACTGGCTGGACGTGGCTCATGAGAAGAACTTGGGAACAATGATGGGATGATATATCTATGATAGCAATAAAAGGTCTACAACTTCTCACTTTTAACGCCGCCTGGTTTAGCAATTTGAGCAAACTTCAGCAACGTCTTGTCGCTGGTCAGACCCTTCTGCAGCCGCTCCTCGGTAACCATGTAAGCCTGTGGGAACCAGTCGCTGACATCCTCCCCGAATATCATCTTGACCAAAGCCTCGCCCGTCAGCCAGCATTTGTCCATGCCGTACCCATTGAACCCACAAGCCATCCACTGCCCGTCGTCACCTGGTGTTTCTAGAAGGGGCTGAGGGATCTGGCCAACGATCGGCAAGCCATCTGCCGTGTGGCCCTGGATGCCGGACCAGATGGCCTCTATCTCTGATGTCGTTTCCGAGCCCCAGCCGTCGAGGAAGAATTTGGGAAGGATGGTTGACAACGCTTTCTTTGCTTCGGCAGGAACGTATGTGTCATCAGAGGTCAAAATATCTTTCATGTATGCCGTCTCGTTCCCAATCCAGATCCTCCCCGTCAAAGCGTTCTGTTGGAGATAGTAAAGTCCCGTATCGTAGAAGCCGGTCTCCGCATCCAACGAAGATTTGTGCGACAAGCTCCAGGATCTGGAGGCTCCCAGGTTCTTCAGAGCTGGGCCAGGCTTTTGAACAGACATCGTGCCACGAAACGGGTATACACGACCAGCCAGCTTTGGTAGAAGATGTGAAGCATACGCGTTAGTGCAGTGGATCACCTTCTTTGCTCGCATAGTCCCTCGTGACGTGGTGATCGAGTAAGGATGCTCCCTGTCGTTCGCGGGAGAGAACTCGACACTCAAAACCGGCGTGTTTGCCTCGACCGCAAGACGCTCGGAGTACTTTTTGAGCAGACGATCGTAAATGCCAGTGAGAAGTCGATAGGGCCAGATAGCGCCGGCATCATGCTCAACAGCCCCTGAAGCATTCTTGATGTTCCATCTCTGCATAACATTAGCTAAAATACGATTCTAGCTACGCATGTGGGACCTGGGACTTACCTCAGGAACATTGTCCTTTTTAATAATACGGTGATAACTTTGATGCTCGGGGACAGCCTGCTGGAAGTCTAGAACCGACTGTCTAGCCGCCTTCCAGGTCTCTTCGTCTCCAACAGCCATGACCTTAAGCACATCACGAATCTGACAAGCTTCCTGCAGCTCTGGCTCCATCTCCTTCACCATCTCCATTAGCCGTGCAATATTGAGAATGCTGAAACGTGTGATTTGCTTTGCTGCCTCAACGCCGTGCTGTCTGGCCAGTGGACCGAAGGTATGCCCAGAGGCTGTGACCAGGTGGCCTCCATTGCGACCGGTTGCGCCGCTGACAAGAGTCCTCGCTTCCAAGACGGTGATGTGAGAGTTGCCGGCAGCCTGGTGCTCAAGAAGTGTCTTGGTGACGCTGCATCCCGTGATACCAGAGCCGATCACAGCAAAGTCTGTATGCTTGGGCAGGGTGGGCGACTGGATTGACCCAATTGGGTGCACGGGAACCTGCCATGCTGAAACTGTCGGGTTGGGCTTAGGCAGGCCTGGGTCTTGCGAGATGGCTTTAGATACGTTCAAGAGAAATCTTGACATGACAGGGTCTGTAATAGACGGTTAGCTATGCTTCAGGAAAGATTAATTTGCATACTTAGATAGGGAGCAAGCTCATCTTGCAGACGATCAGCGCTGTCATTGGTGCCGTTTCCGCCCATTGTGACTTTGACTTGTATGCCTACAGAACACCTGTTCAAGAAACCATCGATAGGAGCTCATTAATACAGCCGGATAAAAGATGCCGTGGGAGGTTCAGAAATGCTACCTCTTGAGCCCAACCTCCCAACGGTGCGGGGGACCGCCCGATGGCCATCCGGACTGTGGGGCCCGCGCCGGTAGCGGCGCCGCTCTCCCTTTCCCTATGCGGAAGGTATGTGCGAGAATGCGAACTGATAGCGGCCGATATGTTATCCTCGGCTTTGTGGTCTACGGTCCGCATTCCAGATGCCTCCCCCACGACATCGTTATCTTAACCTCAGATAATGTGTTGTTAACGTTGCGAATCTTTTGGTTGATTGACAGATAACCCCGCTCCGAGAGATGAAGCCCATGGCTGTAGCTGTGTGACTCTCGACTCTGCGGTAGATATTATCTAGCTGCATGCATATAACTCCCGAAACCCCACCTCAACTTCCAAGACATTCCCACAACTAACCACCACTCATGATCACGGGTTGATAACGACCACTTCTCCCTAGCATTATCCCTCGTCCCCGCGTGTGATCTTGCAATAATGGGCAATCAAACCTCACTTGCACGTACCTCCTCAACGGGAACCCACAACAAAGTCTCCGTCATGCCCGAAAAGACCGATCATGATGCCGTCGAGCGCGGCTCCATCACGAACGGCGCTGTCACCGTGCAGACAATGAAGCCATTCACAACCCTCTCCGCCCTGGGCATTGGCTACGGCACCACAAACACTGCCATCGGCCTTTTGCTGGTTCTCGGCAGCACCCTTCCCATGGGAGGATCACCATTGTTCTTCTGGGGCTTCCTAGTAATGGCCCTCGTCGGCTTAGCAACAGCAACAACGCTCGCCGAGCTCGCCTCTGCCATGCCTCACCCCGGTGGCCAGTACATCTGGGTCCATCGCCTCGCACCGCCCAAGTACAAGAGATTCCTATCGTACATCACAGCAGTTATCAGCTGGCTCGCCGCAGTAGCAACGGGCTCCTCCGCCTGCCTCTCCGTCCCCGTCGGCATCTGCGGCATCATCACGCTCCTCGACCCGACCTTTGAGTACAAGAGATGGATGGGCTTCCTCGGCTTCCAGCTCCTCAACATCGTCACGCTCTTTGGCGCGAGCTTCGAGCAAGCGCTTCCCAAAATCTCAAAGATCATGCTACTCTTTAGCTGCACCACCATCGTCGTGATCTTCATCACCCTGTTCGCGATGTCGAAGGAACACGCCTCTGCCAAGGACTTCTTCGTCACGCAGATCAACGTGTCCGGGTGGCAGAACGGCATCGCGTTCATCATCGGCATGAACGGGGCGAACTGGAGCTTCTCCTGCCTCGACGTCACCACCCATCTGGCTGAGGAGATGCCCCGCCCCAGCACCGACATCCCGAAGGCGCTGATGTGGACAATCGTCGTCGGCCTGGTTTCGGGACTGCTGGTCGTCATGTCGGTCCTCATCAACGTGCCTTACCTCGACGGAGCCGACGACAACTCGGCGCTCGCCCTTTTCTACCGTATCACGGGCAGCCAGGCCGCTGCTGTCGGGCTCTGGGTGCCTGTCATGATCACCACCATTGGCGCCATGTGGTCCATCCAGACCTGGCAGTCTCGCCTTGCCTGGACGATCAGCCGCGAGGCTGGTTTCCCGCTGCATCATCACCTCAGCAAGATTGCGCCCTCGCCGCTGCATACTCCACTCTGGTCGTTGATATTCTCAGCGTCTGGCACGGCCATCTTTGGCTGTCTCTATCTCGCTTCAGACCTCGCCTTCAACTCGCTCATCTCCACCGGCCTTCTGCTCCAGTACATCAGTTACAGCATCCCCGTGGTTCTTGCTCTGATGCAAGGCCGCTCCTCATTCAAGCATGGCCCCTTCTGGTATCCCAAGCTCGGCCTCCTGGCGAACATCGTCATGCTCGCATGGTCGGTAGTCGCACTCATCTTCTACTGTTTCCCGTATTACCTCCCTGCCCTAGCAGACGAAATGAACTACGCCTCCCCTGTTCTGGTTGCTCTGGGAATCATCATCTTGGGCCTCTGGTTCGGCTACGCAAAGAGGAATTACGAGGTCAAGGAGTTCCTCGAGCACTAAAAGATAATTAGCCGGCGCTTGATTACTGTTTTCTGTCTCATCAATACGTTACCTACTAAACGCATCAAAGTGACTGAGATTACGATTCCTTCCGATGAGTCAGGTGGCAATGTGTGCAGCGACTGACTCTTTTGACTTCCGCCTTACTATGCGTAAACTTTCAGACGACACACGTTCATCTCAGTTGTCGGGTCGCAGCGGACGAAGAGATGTGATAGGTGGTAAAGTAAAAGGCCGCTCTCGACTTCTTGACGGCGTGAAACTCGCGCTTGCCGCGTTCCATGACTAGCAAGCCGATTCTTCTCGACCTAGTAACCCTAATTGCGGCTCGCCGCGTGTGTCTGCTCCTCCAAAACCTTATATCACTCCCTCAAGGCATCTCCCTGTTCGTCGATCAAGATGCCGCTGTCCCAGTTTCATGGCCCTCCTCGTTAACTCTGTTGAAGTCGAACGGTCCGAAGTTCTGGAGCGAGGTAATAGAATTACAGTTCCCGGTTCCCTTCCTCAGAACGGACATGTTCGCCGTTCCCGCCAGACGCGACAGCCTTTTTACAATTATCATCTCGTTGAAGAAGAGGGTGTGAAGCAAGCCCGTTACGAACTATCCTCTCTATTGGCGGCGGCGGGAGCGCCGGGCCAATGAGACGCGGACGAGCACACTTCAGCCTCAGTGCGAGGCCTCCGAACTCTTGTGATGGTTTCCTGTGTCCGACTCACATGCCGCGCGTCGCAGCGACAACTTTCGATTTTGCCGGTGATGAGTCTGACTGTGTTAATTGGGAGGGAATCTTTGCCGAAATAAGCCGCACTTCACTTTTCAATGTGTCCCGGCATCTAGAATAGAGTTATTTGAATTCATGTAATATAATCCTTACGAATACGTTAGTCGGGACTTGAACAGCCGAGTTGCTCCATCGCAGGCCGGGCACAGGCGGAGCCACCAGCCCGTGCTCTCGAGGCACCGGTGCAGTGGTAGCAGGAGCCGCGGCCAACATTCTTCTCAACTCAATTAGGCTGCCATTCATTGGGAGCACACAAGAGATAGATAACGTCTATTGGTGAGGCCAGAGATTCCTGCGGCATGCTGTGGTAGGCGAAGGGCCGCGACGTGTTGGCGTGAATATCATCTACGGGATGAAGATCATAGTACGAGATATATCATATGAGGATCTTGGAACATCACCTGTACTCTCAAAGCGCCATTGATAGGTGTGATATTTCATATTTTTATTTAATATCTTGAATACCACCGGCGTCCCGTGAACCTCTTAAAAGTTCACACCGGCCGCCGCAGCCTGCTGCTGCTTAAACGTCCTTGTCACTCTCGGATCCCACTTCATCTTCTGCTGCCTCTCGATCTCCTGCTGCCGCTCGATTTCCAGGTCGTCAATCTCGGCAAAGTTCCTCCGCTTGTGGAACGGCCACTTGCTCTTGCGGTACAGCATGCCGATGATGAGCCCGAAGATGAGCACGCCGCCCACGGAGCCGAGCGCGATGGGCAGCGCGGGCATCAGCTTCGCGCCGCCGTTGCCGCCGGACTGTTGCGCCTGGCTCGGCGCCGCGATCGTGCTGGGCGCCGGCGTCGGTGTCGGCGTGGGAGTTAACAGAGGTGTGGTCTCTGCTGGTGGAGGGGGGATGAAGGAGGGCACCGGTGAGGGCGTGAGGACCTCCGGGGTGGAGATGGGTACCACGGGCGGCTCTGAAGGCGCGAGGGAGGGGGGAATGGATGTTGGTGATGGGAGCGGTGGTACAACTGAGAGCGACGGCGTTGTGGATGAGGACGGGATGGTTGTTGTTGAGATGATGAAGGTGGTGGGAGGGCGAACTGTGGGTGTTTGTGATGTGGATAATGAGGGCGTCGGTGTCCTTGACGGAGGCGAAGGCGTGCTCTTTGGTGGTTCTGATGATGTCGTTGCTGGCGGCGCTGAAGCAGGTGGTGGTGGTGGTGGCGGTGGTGGTCTTGAGGCTGGCGGCGCCGACGACTCTGGTGCCGATGTCTGCGCCTTCGTCGCCTGGCTCACTGATGAGTTGGGAGCGCCCGTCTGTCCTGCTCCTCCGTCTCCGAGAATAGGCCCCAGTACGGGCACGTCTGTCGAGACGCCGAGGGCGCCTCCGAGTTTGGGAAGAAGGCCGGCCATGATGTGTAGTGATTACTCTGTCGTAGAACTGGTATATGTGGTACTGTAGTAGGTTGCCCCTTGGGTCTTGGGTATGTTGTCTGCCGTTTCGTCGTAGGATTATCTCATGTAGTAGTAGTCGTTGTTGTCGAACCCAGTCCCTTCGAGTAAATGTCGAGAGCCGATTAGAAAGACGCTTCCCTCTCTCTGTATGGCTTCGTGGCCAGTTCAGATGGATCAGAGTTGGTCGACAGGTCTGTGTCGCGCGGGCGGAGGAGGGCAGACCGGCCGGTGGTAATAGTGTTGTTGTATGTTGTATGAGTAGTAGGGCGTGAGAAGGTAATATGGAATGGTCGTGTGCGATGTAAGTCGATCCAGCGGCTCAACAATCGTCGCCAAGCCACAGAGCTGTCAACGTAAAAACGTATTCAAACAACACAAATTAAACAATCAATAAATCTCATACAATGTCAGTCCCAAAATAAAAAGTTGCGCTTCCCGCCCCAGAAATATAGAGTCGAGAGGAAGGTCCTTAAAATCGACCCGGCCGCCGCGCGCCATCCGCCCTTTAAACAATCCCACGGTCCCCTCCCTCCATCCATGTCTTGGGTTTTGCGTGTGTCCCCTCTTTTTTTTTTCATGTGTGTATCTTTTTTACCCGCTCCCCCTTGTTCCCTTTCCAAGTCAAGTCCCTTCACGCACACACAATTCTGGCACAGTTCCCTACAGCGGTAACTGCGTGCGTCCATCATCCGAGAAACCTTACAACCTCTGGCTGACGTGACGCAGTGTCGGGACAAGGAGGGAGGGACACAGAGGGGCACCCAAGGGAAAAAGCAGGGATCTACAGGGGTCGGCTCCGTCTCACAATGGCATTGATCCCTGCACGCCAGTTGGAGGCTCAAGCGCGGTGGTTGCTCGGTAGTGTTTCCCCGCAAGGGTGCTGCCAGCACGGTTTCAGACATGGAATGTTTGAGTCGATGTTCTTCAGGCCAATGAAACCCAAGATTCCTCCTTTCGTCCCACCTTTTGACTGCCCTTCCGGGGGTTCTGGTGGCCAGCAAGCCATGTCTATCCCTCAGGACCCTCACTGTTGTGCTTCTCAAGAGGTTCTTCTCCGTCTGGGGGCACGGGGGGACACCTCGGCAACTCTCTGGGCGAGCCGTCTATCAAACCCGAACCAGTCAAATAAGGTACGATCGGGTATCAAGCCCAAAATCCTCCTGGCTGGGCTGTAGCCCAAGTGTCTATCCATCGTGCCCAGGCGGGAAGAGACAAGGCACGGCTCCAAAGACCGTGCGATCATTCTGTCACTCCGGTCAGAGTTAGAGGAAGAGACGGGCCTTGACGTAAACTCACAAACACATTACACATTACATAGTGCCCTCCACATAAAGATGTTAGGTGGTGGGCTAATTGACGTGAGACAAATCGCACTTAAAGCCCTACTAGTCGAAAATGCCTAACAAGACTATCGCCGATGGCCCATTATTGCTGCCACCTTACGTCTTCTCTTTTGAGCCTCCTACCTATTCAGCCCAGCCTAACCTGACGTCGGAACATCCCCGTCGCGGCGTCACCTGTCAAACCGCCCCAACCTCTTCTCGGAAACTGCATGATCCCCGCGTCGTAATCCCTCCGACCCCCCGCCGATCGAACCCTCTTCCTGCATCCCTGGCACCCTGGCTGACTGCCCGCTGTCCTTTCTGAGACCGACCTGCCGCCAAGCAAGACAATCAGGGGAGCCTCATGTTGGTGAGATCTCCATCTCGGCACCCGGCGAAGGGGGCAGAAAGGATAACGAAAAACATGCGACTGGAGACAATTGCCAATAATGCCAGCGAATCCATAGAGCCACTTTCCATGCCATGTTCAGGCCTGGCCTGCATTTCCCTTCCATCTGCTCTGCCCTACGACAGCGAACCGTGCAACGCGCCTCCTTGCACTCATCTCCCTCGGTTTCCTCGGTACGGATGCTCTCCTCCCCCAAGTTTTACCCATCGGTTCTGCAGCCTTAAGGCATGACCGTTGAAGGAGGCGAGCCCTCGGCAGTCAACGCTATCAAAACACTCGCAAACCTCTTTCCGCGGGGATCAAGCGCACCGCCGGCCCACCGAGGTCATACAGGCAACTAAGGCCTGCCTTGGTCCGGGGAGTGGGCGACCCGGGAGACCGAATTTGCATGGCTCTTCCTTCTCGTCATCCACGATCGTTCTGCCCAGCAAGCAGTCTGGCTGTTTCCCCCCGTGTCCATCTATGCATCTACCCTACAATCGCCTGTTGTGGTGGGGGCCACGTCACGTCGACGCTCGTCCGAAGTCCGCCGCCGGGCTGAAAAACAAGATGCCACTGTCAGAGATGGACCAAAGGGGATAGAAACACCGATGGATGATCGCGCGGCTGTGGTGGTGATTGGGCGGTTGTCGTGATATCATAAACACGGCTTTAATCTCAATGCTGCTAATAAGAGCCACGATCTTTCAGTTATCGAAGAGGGCGGGCACCCTCAACTCTGGCAAGAAAAGCAGCCCACGACGGGAAAGACGGCAAGCTCGCGTGTCCCAAATCCGCACATCATGGTGCGTATTTTTAGCCCAGCAACGGCGCACACCACACCGCCTGGCCGGGATGGTGTTTGAGGATTGAGGATCTCTGGTGGGAACTGGTGATCAGCTGCCCATTTCCGCCAGTTGTTCGCCTTATCCGTAAGGCGGCTTTAACCTTGAACTGCTGCTCTCTACCTAATCCGAAGGGCTCCAATGTATCGTCTGGTGAGGCTTTTGGGTGGGATCGCAGGGCAGGACGGTAGCATTTACTACCACGGAGTGTCGCAGCCTCGGATACTCCGGTAGGAAGTCCTAACCGGGTCATCTGTTGTCGACGTCTCCGTGGCTGTGTGTGAGGCTCATCGCGTACTCTTCCCATGCCGTTATTCTGAGCCGCATCGTTTTTTTACAACCGCAAACGTATGTGGCGCTTAAGTTGGTCAACGTCCTGGATCGAACGCGATGTACGACGTCTTCCAAATGCACGTCGTGTTCGCTCTCAAGATACGAGACGGTTTACCGCCTTGTCTGGCCCTCGGACCTGAGCTTTTGGTGGTTGAGTACACTGACCTCTGTTTGACTAGTCCCGATGTTGAAGTAGATCAGATTGGCAGGTTCGACACTTACCAGGTAAGGTAATTTAGCGAAATATCCATCGTCAGTGCTACGATTAATTACACAATGTAGGTAGGATGCATCTGAGCAACCGTCGATTGTTCAACTTCGCGTATTTTCCAGAACCGCCCAGGGCGCTTCACATCTACGTCGACTTGTTGAGACGGAAGAAACTTGAAATTGTAAGATCCGTTGACTGTAACCAAGACCATAGTCGCCACTTGATGACGATCTCATTCAAAGTTTTGTTCGATTCCAAGAACAGCCTTGGAGAGGGTGAGAAGAGTGTTGTTCAAGGCATCTCGATCCAGTGACATCACAGTCTCCGCCGTCCCGGCTGCTGTTGAACCCCAGGTCCACACTGACCAGGTCATTTCTGCCATGCAAAGTCGACTCAACCCAAATGGATACTACTCAGCTTCCCGTCCATGTGCCCCCTAGGAACCGTCACCTGACCATCCCTACGTCCACATGGTGAACCAAGAGGCACTACGCCGTATCACCAACGGCAATCTTCAAGCAAATCATCGGCGCTTCTTCAACGGAGCGGGGGATCCACATCATGCAGGGGTTCGGCTGTTATCACCCGAACCTGACGCTGCGGAACGCCGAGTATCTTATCAGTCGCATCGACACATCTCGGCAGTCGCATCGCAATCAGTCCCCTTTCTTCTTTCCCCTCATCCAGACGAACACAGCTAGCTCACGGTTCACCGATACGCGACTCGCTACCGCTCACTGAGAAGAGAATGACGATGTAGCTGGGCCCTTGAGGTGTATTATGGTACGAATCGCCACACACAACCACCGCACCCCCTGGACGCGAAACGGAACCAAGTGGGCTGCCAAACACGGGACAAACCAGAGAGCGTTCGCAGCCAGTGAGTGAGAGCGGTGCGATGGCGACACCGGGGAGCGGGTTGCCGTACGACCCCACCACCACCACCGCCGCCAGCGAACACCCCGATCAGCCGCCGGCCAAGCGGGCGAAGACACAGGCTTGCTCTCGCTGCCGTCGTCGAAAGGTGAGTACAGTCAAGAACCAGTTTCTTGGAAGTGATCGTCGGCTGCGAACCGCTGGTCTCTCTCTGAAACGCCGCAGTACCATGGTACCGACGAACTAACTCGATGATGATCGCGTAGCAAAAATGTGACGATCAGAGGCCGTGTGCCAACTGCGCCAGGTCCGGCGAGCAGTGCAGCGAGGCGGCGCCGTCCTACCACTACCATCCCCGTCCGTACGTTCAATGTTCATGTTCCGTTTCTCTCTTACCTCATCTACCTTACCCCAGACGACGCAAAAGTTTCATTTTGTCTTGAGTAAAGAAGGAGGGAACCAATGAAAACCGTGGAGATCAACCGTCGATCTGATTGTTAGTCGTGTGTGACGCCCCAGCAGTTCGGACCATTTATCCTCGACACACACGCCCCTGGCCTGGCTGGGTGACATCGCCTCGTTGGAGGAGCGCATATCGCGTCTCGAGGAGAGCAACGCACGGCTCCAGGACGTTGTTGATCGCAACGGGCTCGCATTAGACAGCGCTCGAGCTGAAGGGGCGGCGCAGACGTCGTCGCATGAAGAGGGTCATCATCATCGACGTCAGGTCTCGTTTGCTTCTCGCAGCGGAGAGACGTCTCTCACCAGAAGCTCACCAGCAATCGGGCTCCTCGCGACCTTTGCCCGTTCAGACGAGGACAGCAACCTCTCACCACTCACCTTTCAGGATGGCTCTGCCACAGCTACTACTCGCCGGCCCGTCAGCCAACATGGAGCAGAGGGAAGCGTAGACAGGCCAACAGAGGAAACCCTCTTCAACGTCTATCACGACAAAGTCCACTGCCGCTACCCCTTCCTCCGCCTCGATGACTTCCGCGACCCCGTCAAGCGCCCCAGCGGCGTCTGGGCGTCCTACTTTGTGAACATGATCATCTCCATTGGCCTGCTTCTCGACAAGTCTCCCACTACCAGCGACGGGACCTCCGTTCGCCATCACCACAGCCACCAGTCCTTCTACCGCACCGCCGTTACAAAGTACCTCTCCCATGTCTTCGCGCAGCCGGACCGTCTCCTGCACATCCAGGCGTACCTCCTCCTCGCCATGCACGCAATCTACTCCCCGTCCACGGAGCGCATCATCTCCATCGCCTCGGCGACGATGCGCTACTGCGTCATGGCCCAGCTGCACCGCGCCGACGCCGAGCCGCCGCCGCTCTCCGTCGCCGCGAAAATTGACACACAGATGCGCCGCCGCGTCTTCTGGTCCGCCTACACCCTCGACCGCGCCGTCGGCACCATGTTCGACCTCCCCTTCTCGGTCCCGGACTACCAGATCACCGTCAAGATGTACGCCAACGTCGACGACGCCGACCTCGCCGCGCGCTGCGCTGCGTCCTTCCCCGCGGACCCGGACACCGGCCGCCGGCTGACCGGCGTGTCTGCGGCGCTGCACGTCGTCTACTGCCGCCAGATCCAGTCCGAGATCCTCAACACGACGCTGCACCGCGACTTCGACACGCGCTTCGACCGCGCCTCCCACTGGCGCCTGCACGTGCTCGAGAAGCTCGACCGCTGGCGCGCGCTGTGCCACCGCTACTCCGACACGTCCTCGCCGCTGCGCAACTTCACCAGCTCGGAGTGGCTGCACATGATCTACAGTTATAGTCTGGCGATGCTGTACCAGCCCACCAAAGCAACGGCCGCCGGCCCCGCGGGCGACTGGACGGTGAAATCGTGCGTGCAGGCGTGCCTCATCTTCCGGCGGTTCCAGCGCGAGACGCCCATCACGGAGCTGTGGCTCGGGCTCGTCGCGCAGTTCAAGTGCGGCGTCGCGCTGCTGTACTGCTTCTTCGCGACGCCGCCGCACCTGCGGACCGCGGCGTACGAGCTGCCTGATGCGTCGGAGGCGGTGCGGGCGTGTAGCATCGTGCTGTCCATCCTGGCGGAGCGGTGGCCGCAGTCCAAGTGTCTCCGGGATGCGTTCGATACCCTTGCGAGGGAGGTTCCGCTGTTCGAGCCAAAGCTAGCAGATGCCGCCGCCCCGCGGAAGATGAGGCGGGAGTCGGCGGATGCGCTGATGGCGGCGATGCCGCAGCTCGAGGTGATTGTCGTGCACCGCAACACGCTGCGCATGATCCGGGAGATGGCGCAGGAGGAGTTCCCGCGTCCGCCGCCGGATGCTGCCGCGCAGCAGCAGAAGTCGCTGAGCGAGATTGATGTGCTTGCTGAGGCGACGGCTCACCTTGCTGAAGAGGACTCGCCGTCGTGGCGGACGAGTATTACGGGTGACATATTCCAGCCCATCACGCCGCACTTTTTCCAGGCGAATGTGCCCCTTGATGCGGACAGTTTTGATTATACCGCGCTGGGGTTCCCTGGGGAATTTGACTTGCTAGATAGATGAATCAATAGTATTAATCACGCCTTACGGCGATCTCATGCAACGTGAAGAGAAGCAGTTGCTCCGACGTTGGAAGAATGACAAATGTACTGCTGAGTAAAGACGCCCAAGCAATGTGTCCCATCGCCGAAAACTCAATTGATCAGCTCCTTATCGCCGACGAACAGGTGAGAGAAAGAAGTGTGGAGTTAATTTACCGGAGCTTCGAATAAACTTCGCGGGATTTACGTCACTGACGCGGCGGTGACGTGACCAACAATTCTCTTATTCTTCTCACTCTACAGAAGACACCGCGGAACACACGAGCCCCGCGTGTTCCGCTCACGGAATTAGCCCAGCGCATGGCACAATCTTTTGCCCAGAACAGAAGACTCTCCACACTCGGCCTGCCCGCCCTAAGGAGGAGAACTGCCATTCGGTGCGTGGATGCCCCGCTGCCGTTGACCAACCCCCCGGCGGGGCCGGTTTTCGTATGTCTTGGATGGAGCGGGGGAGGAGAAACATGGCCGTACAGGTTGATTTCAAAGCCGTGGCATGATTGACGTGCTTCTCATTAGCACTTATATGAACTCGGGCCTCCGCACCGTTTAAATCAAGACCGGAAGCTTAACAAGACCTACAACAAACATTGAACTGCCACATTGCACATACCTACCTACCAATTGAACCCCTCTAAACCATCACCACTACCAACAACAACGACTGCAACCATGAGCAGACACGTCCTCATCCTCGGCGGCCACGGCAAGGTCTCCCAGTACCTCACCCCGATCCTCCTCAAAAAGTCCTGGACCGTGACGAGCGTCATCCGCGCGCAGGAGCAGGTCCCGACCATCGAGAAGCTCGGCGCGGGCCAGGCCGGCAAGCTGAACGTGCTGGTGCGCAGCATCGAGGACGTCAAGAGCGAGGGCCAGGCGCAGGCCATCTTGGACGAGGTCAAGCCCGACACCGTCATCTGGAGTGCCGGTACATAGATCTGCCCCCATTCTCACGAGTCATGAGTAACATTACTGACGTTCCTTGCAGGTGCCGGTGGACGAGGCGGCGCAGAGCGCACATTCGCCGTCGACCGCGACGCCGCAATCCACTTCGTCAAAGCCTCCGTGGCCACCCCCTCCATCAAGAAGTTCATCCTCGTCTCGTACCTCGCCTCGCGCAAGACGAAGCCGACGTGGTGGTCCGACGACGAGTGGGCGGGCGCGCAGGCGGTCAACCAGAAGCTGGCCAACTACTTCCAGGCCAAGGTCGCGGCCGACGAGGTCCTCTGGGAAGAATCAAAGAAGCGCAGTGATATCGCGGGTGTTAGCTTGCGGCCCGGCACGCTGACGGAGGAGCCGGCGGGCAAGGTCGAGTTTGGAAGGACCAAGGGGTCGAGGGGCACCTCGAGCAGGGAGAGCGTGGCGGAGGTGGCGGCGCTGATTGCGGAGCAGGAGGACTTTAAGACGAGCTGGGTTGACCATCTTGATGGGAGCGAGGACCCGAGGGCGGCGGTGGAGAGGGTTGCGAGGGAGGGTGTGGATGTCGCGGAGGGAGAGGCGTTCTACAAGGCTTGATTCAAGCAAAAAGGGGGAAAAGTTATGTCTGATGGGTCATGAAATTATTATTTGGGTATAGCGTGATTAATTCTAAGTCTATCAACTTGATGCCATCAGGGCAATGTGCTTCAGTTCTCTGTCGAAGTGGTTAGTTTTACTGGTCTTTGTGGGTGTCTGAAGGGGTCGACTTACTGTTGTACTTGCTCTCCAACCTTCATCTGCTCGTACCTCACCTCCTCGCCCTCGTCTCTTCCCAGGTTGAACTGCTGCGCCCTCACCTGCTTCGCCTGCTCCGCCAGCTGGGGAATCGGCGACAACTCCACGTCCGACGACAAATGCCAGAAGCACGTCGACGAGATTCGCACCAGCGGTCTGTCGGGAAACTCCTTTTTCCTGCGCTCAATCACAGCCAGCGTCTTCTCGTTCACCACAACCTCATGGTAGCCCGCCTTGATCAGCCCGCCCGTGAAGTGCTCCATCTGCTTGCCCGCCTGCACCAGCAAGTAATTCCCCTCGGGGATCTTCACCGCAATCTTCTTCCCCGTGTTGCGCGCCCAGATGTGCAGGCCGGGGTACCGCGACCGGCCGTGGATCGTCAGGAAGTTCAGGTCCGTGTGGAAGCCCGCGAGGATGGTGTCCTGCTTGCCGTACTTGACCAGGTCCGACGCCGTCGGCGCCAGCAGGTGCGGGCCGTACTTGCCGGCCGCGCTGAAGGTGTCCGCGGGCAGCCCGAGCCCGACGGCAGCCATCTCGGCGAGCCCCGTGACGGCGGCCTTCATAGAGGAACCCCACTTGTTCATCGCCCCGGGCCAGCGGTCGCGGATGTGCGGGGCGTCCGGGACGACATTCGGCGCGTTCAGCCCCGGGAAGCGCGTCTCGTAGGGGGGCTTCTCGGCCATGCTCCAGAAGAAGCGGCACTTCGGGTCGGGCTCGTGGGCGCTGATGTCGAGGGGCCGCTCGGAGGGGGCGAGGCGCTGGATGACCTGCAGGCAGGGCTCGTCGACGGCGCACTTTGGCTTCTCGGTGTTCTCGAGGGTGACGCCGATCTGGTAGGAGAGCTCGGGGCGCTCGTCTTTGCGGAGGGCGGCCTCGGGCTGGGCGAAGTAGTCCTCGAGCAGGTCGAGGAAGGTGGTGTTGTCGGACTCGGAGACGCGGGAGTCGTGCAGGACGAGGGCGCCGTAGGTGATGAGGGCGTTGGCGGCCTTTGCGCACTCGGCGGCGACGGCGGGGGAGTCGCGGGGCTGGGTGAGGAAGACGTCGAGGTCGACGATGGGGAGGTCCATCGGGAGGTCTTGCGTGGCGGGCATGGTGGAGGGAGGGAAGGCAGCGAGCCGGATCGCGGGGTGCAGGAGGGGTGGCGGCGGGGGTTGGTGATGTTTGGGTTTTGGTTTTTTTGGAGTCGCGATTCGAGGGGTGTTTTGGGGGGTGACCGACGGCGACACGGGTTGACGAAAGACGCAAGACAGGAACCTTGGAGACTATTCAGAAAAGAAAGAGGAGGGACAGACGCCGCATTTTGTCTTTGGTCGTTTGTCGCGCGGCAGGCACATGTGAGCAGCTCCCCGATCCATGGATGCAAATCAGATGTGCATTCGCGTGCACTGATGGTGGTGGTTCCAGTGGTGGTGGGGGATGTGTTCGGGCGCCTGACCGGAACAGGCAGCTGACCAGGGGCCCCCTAAGCCCCCCCGATCGCGCGCCCGTTGAAGATGGTACCTGCGCTCCGGGGCGGGTCCCCCGCGACAGCCAATCACGTGTCTCCGTCGGCGTGCTCCGGCCCTGGGTCGCGGAGGCCTGGCCGGATGGTCGAGCCAGATTTTCCCTCCCGCATTTTTTCCCATCTCAGCCATTGGGGAAGGTGAGAGATCTTATTCGAGATTGAATAAGCAATGAGAAAAAAATGATCTGACTCGGGGTAAGCGGGGATGCGGAGAATTTTCTCTCTTTGGTCCTCTGGGATATGGCCTGTTTTCATCCTTTGGTTTCCTGTGGTTTCCGACGCGCCCCAGCGGTCTCCGGCGGGATGAGCAGGTAACCCACGGCATCGTGGATTCTGTGCATTGCCTCAACGACGACGGCAAGTGTCAGCAGTATTGCTAAATGTCACATTTGATTCGTTGATTTCTTTATGGAACGTTCCGCCGCAAGGTTTCGTTCGGATCGTGCTTCAGGGCTCGGAAATTTCGCACCTCTCCAGGTACAGATGTCCCCATCCCACATGGGAATAATACATGAGCCGCATAGCCGATTTCGGGATGCTAGATGGATATGATCATGACTCCGCTGACAAGGTCTTGCCTTACATCGCATCTCAACTACACATAAGTGCGATTGCTCGTTCTTCCCGTGTACATACCATAGAAATAGCCTCGCAAAATTAAAGCGTGTGTTTATGCAGAGATATTCCTATCATATCATGATGTTGACTTTCAGAACTGTGCAGAACGGAAATACTGGTCTACACATTGGCAACATGCCGCCTTTCCGTATTGCAGGCGAGTTGCATTATAGACAAACCCAGCCACTCCAAAGCCACAGTTCAGATAAATATGCGTATCGCCGCTGGAGCACGGAAACTATGTCTCAAGCATGTCTAGCAACACAATATTGACCAACTCTGACTACTTATTAACGGGATGTAATTAAATACAAAAAACAGTGATTAGTAAAGAGCTACTGTTCCTGCCAACCTATGGCATAATTAAAGATGCCAGCGTCAGGTATCGAGTACCATGATCCTACCAAGCTCAGATAAAGTTACCGTCTCCCTCGCAACGAGACAGCGGAATGGATCCCTTCTTCTGGCAAATCGTAATCGTGCCAGACACCCACGAGATGCCATCGTACGAGCCCTCCTTGTACGAGTCCGCCTGCCACGTCCCCGTCTCCTTCAGCGAGCCAGGGCACCCGGTAAAGGCCCTGCCCGTGCGGCGCGTCTTGAACGGCCGCGTGATCATGCACCCGCTGTACCCGGGGCTGACGGTGCCCTTGATGTTGACCGTCGTCTGCGTCGCCCACGAGCGGCTGTAGTTGATCCCCACCGTGTTCTTGAGCTTGTCCTTGATCCAGGTCACGTCGAGCCCGGCGCTGACGCCCACGCTGTTGGTCACCGTGTACCCCTTCATGACGTTGATGTCCATGGAAGTGAGGTCCGCCGTGACGACGGGGGACATCTGCACGTCCCAGTCGATGAAGTCGAAGGTCTTGTCCGCGACGATGGAGTCGGTGGCGTCGCAGGAGGTGCCGCGCGCGTCCAGCTTTGGGTGGGTGATGTTCATGGGGGGCAGGAGGGTGTTGTTGATGGGGAGGTTGTGGAAGTCGGCATCGTCAAGGGGCGGGGCGCGGGGGAGGACGCCCATGGTCTTGAGCATGTGGTCGTAGGTGTCGCGGTGAACGATTTCCACTGAAGCGTGTTAGTATCACAGACGAAGCTGGATGTGGTTGAGGAAACAAGGCACTTACTGCGATCCTCGCCGTAGAGGATAACCTCATGGGGTTGGAGAACACGGCCAGGGTGCCATTTCGTGCTGTTGAGGCTGCGCTCGTTGAAGAATGGCGCCGCGCTGGCAGCCGAGATCAGGAAAAGACTGGTGAAGGTAGAAGAGCGCATCTTGGCGAAGACCGTGTAAGTGAGTGCGGTCGAAAGAGTGTGGTGGATTGATTTGGATCTAAGTCGATGCCGAGCAGTAAACAGCTTCGAATTCAGATGAACTTGGCGGTCTTTATACATCTATATGGACATACTTCACCTCCGTCCATCTCGTATCGCCCTCCGCCATGAATCCTCACTGAATCCCAAAAGGTAGCCCACGATATTGCACAGCACCGCCTGTGGAACCATCTCAACGCATCTCACGAGTCAAAATCCCCAGAGACCCGACAAACAAGACTGGATATCTCGAGCCTCTGGTTCCGCAAACACCACGGTTGTGCGGCATGAAGCCATGGTGATCACACAACCTGACTCAGTTGCTGCGATCATCACGATTCCACGTGCAGAGCGTATTTCTAGATGACACAAGCCATTTTGATAACGGTAAAAAATCTTCCGGCGGGATGGCGGGATGAAAACGTGCGTGATAAGCTTAACAAAGCAGGTTTCATCGGAATAAACGACTCAGAAATATTGAAAAGCCCGGATTAGGATCATCCCTTTTGGGCGGGTTCGCGATGTTCCCTTTCTGGACAGGATGCGCGGGATGTGGGCCCGGTGCAACCACTCCAAGCGGTTGAGCCTCCCACGTGCATTCTGACGACACCAACAGGGCCTTGTTGTGTGCGATGCAATTCGCAGAAAACGAATAATAAACTTGAAGCACATCGGGGAGGATGTTGAGTCGTGATGGATGTTTTGTGGCTTCGTCGATGTTCAGCCTCTCCAATCTTTTTGGGCACACACGGTAATAATCGCCGTGTGTGGCCTCCGAAGACTGAAGAAGTTGATGATCTCCAGGCACGTGTTGTTCGCATGCTTTGAGTGGGATACCGGGCTTCTCATCGGCCAGCGGCGTGCGGTGTTGAACTACATGGTTATGAAGTCCCACCCGGACTTCGGGTCTCACAAGCACCCGATATAAAATTGCCTGTATCGTTTAATTCAGACCGAGTACAGCAGTTGGTCTACAGCCTCATATGTTGATGTGATACTTCCTTCCACTTGGGTTCTTGAGTTTGCTACGCTCAAGCTCTTCACGGAAAGCCCCCTCCGAGTTGAAAAATCAAGATGCATTTTCCCACAGCAGCTCTTCTACTGCTGTCCCTTGCTACCAGGTATGTCAAAATCTTTTGTCTCTTCAACATGAGCCACAGAACAGCAAAGCTGATTTGCTCAATTACAGAGTATTCGGCGATATGCACGAGTGGGCATTCTGCGTCCGGGACAGAAAAGAGGCGCCCATTGGCGGAACCCCATTCAGCCCCAGCTACAGCTGGTCCAAGGACTACGAGGTCGACACCACCGCGACTCAGTGCGCCTGCACAATGTACAAGAATCGCAACACCGGCAGCAACTGGTGGGACACCTGCCCCGACTGTGTCTATGACGAGGTGCGCACTCTTGCTGATCCTTTTCCATCCTCGAATTTGGCACTGACTCATTGGTTCCAACAGACGCAGCTGGGATGCCACTCTGCAGCTGTTCATATCGGCGGTGACGAGATGACGTATTACTGCGAGAAGAAGTGTGGTGCGGAGGGGTCGGAGGCTGATTGAATGCATTGGGCGAGATGATAATTAGGCGCGGCTCCTTATTTTGGAGTGATGTCCGGATGGCAATAGTATTCCATACTTTATCCATTTGGCTTGATGCTTTTACGCTCTCCTGATTCGATATTGAAGAGACACAGGTAGCCGGCTTGCAGTTATAAAGATTCATGGCGCATCTGGCAAGACTATGAAAGGAAGCTGGATTGTGTCACTATTGCTCATCTAGTCTAGGCGGAAAGATTACTGAACAGATACTTCGAGCTAGGCTTATGACCTAAGAATTCTTCCAGCATCTCCATCTCGTCGCGGCTTCCACCAAATTCTAATATCCCCCGGCGATACTTTCCCCACCGCTCCTTGCTGCGCGGATCTTCCTCAAAGTTGTGGTGAAAGATGTCTGCGGCGAATACTGCCGCACTATTTCGTCCCGGGATTAGTGCCCTGAGAAGTCAAACTTTGTATCGATGTACTTACCACAAATATGAGTAGTACCCTGCGTCCATTCCAGAAACCATGTGATGAAAGTTCGATTGGGGATGTCCTCTGTCTTTGGCGTCGGGATTGGGAAGCAGGCGGAGCCTCTCCATTGTGTCGTTAAATATCTCCGCAACATCCAGGTCCAAGCATTCTTCACGAGTAGCCGGACTATGGACGGCCATATCGAAACGGGCAAAAGCACTATCAACTTAGATCAGTAACCAGCAAAGCGAAGAGCGACATGACTTACAGCTGACGCAAAAGCCAAAGCGCCCTGTTCACATTCCTGCTTCTGACAAGAGGCCCCAGAAGTTCATCAGGTATCTTCTCAGGCGGGTCTGACTGGCCCGGATTCTTTCGGCGCCAATCATTCAAAAGCTTAGGGTTCAATCTGGTGTAATGGCAGCTCATATGCCTGAGCTCGTCTGCCATCCAACACCAGTTCTCCAACATGACACTGGGGACCTCAAAGAAGTCAGGCGGCATGCGGTGTCCGTGAACCATAACAGTGCGAGTCCTCGACACAAGATCGTGCATACCGTGGCCCAGCTCATGGAACAGAGACACAATCTCGCTATGCTTGAGTAAAGCGCAGCCGGTTGTGGTTGGACGAGGAAAGGCGCACATCAGAATTGTCGCCGGGTAGACCCTAGTGTCGTCCGGTCTAAGATACCCACACTGAAGATTGACATTCTGCGAGCCTTGGTGTTTGTTGGGTCTGATGAGGAGATCCGTGTACAAGTAGCCGACAAACTCATCTTTGGTGGCTTCTCTGTCGTCCCAGACTGCCCATACCTGGACATCGTCATGCCAGATAGTATGCTGCTTCTGATCGGCCATCAAGGGAACAAACCGCAGCTGCAGGCAAGAGGCGAATAGATCCAGCATTGCTGAGACGGAGTAGTCCAGTGGGAAGTACTCAGAGATCTGGCCATGTTTAACATCGATCTGCTCTTGCAGCAGGCGATTGTAGTAATCGTAATCCCACGGGGGCATTGAGTCGTTGTCTTGCGGGAAGTCTTTCTTTCGAATATCCAAAAGTGCCCTCATCTCTTCTCGCCCTTTTCGCAAGAGGACACCTTCGAGTTCATCGAGGAAAATGTTCACCCACGTTGTGGTCTTGGCAACGCGAGCCTCCAACCGAAAGGCCGCGTGGCTTTCATATCCCAGTAAACGCGCATTCTCGTCGCGCAAATCGATGACCTGCCTGAATAGGTCGACGTTCTCCGGTACCTTCCTTTCATTGGCGACGTAGACCTTCTTTCGGGTCGACGGTGCTGTGGCGTACTGCAAGACGGCATTGACGTCTGCTCTCGTAAAGCGTACAAACGCCTTGTTCTTTTCGCTAACCTCCGTGGAATGTTGTTTACTCAAGAAGTGAGTGAGGTCCTCCGCAGGCACCCCTTCAAGTTCGTCCAGGGAAAGCCACATGCCACCATCGTCGTTTCGATAGTTGCGGTTGTACTGCTGTCTCATCTCATCGATTTGGTTTCTCCTGTTCAAGTAAACGGCCACCTGATCCTGGTCAAGACGCCCATGACCACCTCTTGTGAACTGCTGGATGTTGCTTTTGAGAAACTTGGCATCTTCGAAGTGGACCTCCTCAGCTTTGTCCTCAACAGCCTTGAGCAGATGATAGAAGTCCTTTCTCGCTACCCTCTCGGAGTCCCACTGTCGCAAGAGTCCAATGGCTGCGTCCGATGCCTCACGAGCTAGTTGATCTGGCGAGGCGTAGCGTAGCATTGCTATGACAGCGATTCGACCTTGCGTCTCGTTGTCCACACTGATCAATGGCCGGATAGCAGTGTCAAAGGTCGCCGATGCAGGGTCAAAAGTCGCGGCCACATGATTCCAGGTGTCGGATTGCTCTTTGATGACCTGCTTCATTATTGGCATGACATCCTTCGCCGCTATCAGGTGAGGCGGCTCCTGAGGGGGGGACATGCTTGTCATCGTCATTCTGGCTGCTGTCGTAGTAGCATACACCGAAGTGCGTGTTGTTTTGTGATAATTATGTTGAGGAATTTTCGAGCCCACCCAACAGGGGTTCACGGTAGGAGGAAAAGCATCAAGAGCACCTCGGTCAGTGTCCAATCCGATCGCTTCGCAGTGTACGTATTCAGGGGATGTTGTGATATATAAAAGAACGCCTTTCTGTCACGAGATTCGAATCTGGTCGATATAACTAGTGGTTTTGAAATATGCAGTAAGAAGAGGGGGATTCGATCCTATCGATCAGGGCGGAAGCCTGATTGGGTGTATGTGCCGCGCATCCGCGCATCTCAAGTCACAAGACTCGACGTAACAGTGGGCCTCAGTCGCTTTTCTTACTTCCTGCCTCATGTAGGAATACTTTCATGCGCGCGTGACGGCTACTTCATAACTGCTCACACTAGCCCGCAACTCCCACGTCAACCTCTTTCTCCCTAGAGACCCTTAGACCTTGCCACATCCTCCATGATCCTGTTTACATCAAAGTCCGCATTCTTGAAGTCATTCTCGATGATGTCCTCCACCCACTTGCCTCTTGGCGTGAAGACAGCCTCAAATGGCGAGGGTCCAATGACGATGCCCACTGGTACGGCGTCCCTGTCATCAATGACCTTCCTCTTCTTCGTCTCTGGGTCAATGGGCGCTTCCATCTCATACGCCCACAGCAGACGAGTAACCATGATCCATAGGATTTCTTTCGCGACATGCCTTCCAGGACAGACGCGTCGCCCGTTCCCAAAGCCTATGATCGGAAGATCGTTCCTCTCCAACCACCGTTCTGGTCTGAACTCCTCTGCATCCGCGCCAAAGGCAGCTTTGTCTCTGGCAAGGGAGAATTGAGATGTCACAATGATGGTGCCTTTGGGGATCCTGTATCCCATGTATTCGTCCTCCTCCACGGAGAGGTGGTCGACTCCAGAGGGTATCACGGGCCGGTAACGCATCACCTCGTCGATGATGGCGTCGATGTAAGGCATCCGTGCGCGATCTTCGTGTGTGGGCAGACGATCACGTCCGACAACTTCGTCCAACACTTGCTGGGCTTTGTGCATGACGCGAGGGTAATTGATCATCAATACCAAGAACCAAGTGATGAAGGTCGGGCTGGTGTCACCGTTGGCAAGGAACAGTGTCCCAATGACCCAGCTGATTTCTGTGTCGCTCAGCTCCATGTTCAAGCGCTTCGCACTGTCGGCCACTTGCTTCGCGACATTGTAGCCGGGCTGGTTGACTGCGTTGCGCAAGTTGCGAAGGTGGTAAGCCTCCTCTTCCTTGAACATGGACTCGGCACGCAGCTTCCAAGGAGAGAGTGCATAGGGAATGGATTTCAACCAAGGAAAAATGTCGACAAGCGGTGGATTTTGCAGTGCCTGAAGTGTCGGGCAGGTGAGGAGGAAGTCCATCTTGCCAGCAGTAGTGGGATCTTCTTTGACAAGACGGTCTCCGTAAAGAATGACATGGAGACTTCCAACATTGGCTCGCTGGAAGTACCATCTTGGGTTGAAGGGACGCAGAGTTTGCGTGTCGGCAGGTCTTGGAGTCTGATCTCCCTCAGAGTCTGGCTGAGCCCTGGACTCTGTGAGAATGTCGTGAAGGAGTTGTAGAGACTCCAGGCGCAGGACTGGGTCGTATAGCGCAGCGGACCGTGGGTTCAGCCCTGCTACATTCAACCTCTGATGTAGACGCATCTGAGCATCATACTGGCGGAAGATGAGGTTGTAGCCCTTGGACACCAAGTCGCCAGCCATGACGCTCAGATCACGTCCGGAATACTTGGCTGCCCTTTTGTTAAGAAGCTCATGTGTTGCGTCCACCGTTGTCAAGACAACCATGGGTTTTCCCAGAATATTGAGGTAGACCAAGGGACCATAGTTGAACTTCCAAAGATACTCTGTGAGCCATCTTCGGCTGTCTGGATACTTGAGGAGGTTCCCGATCACGGGCCATCCGGGGGGGCCAGGGGGTAGCGGGAGCTTAGAGCCCTTGGAGCGTGAATGATGGGCATAGAATAAGCAGGCAACCAAGAAAGAAGCGGCTAAAAAGACTTGCTGAGCAGCGATTGATGCCAGCAGACTTTCTTTGCGATCTGGCTCATCGCTGACAACCGTGATATTGAGTGTAGTAGAGTTCATGTTTGTTATGTGTTTGGGGCAAGGGAAGAATGTTCAGTCTGTGTTGATGAGACAATCCCAAGCTGCGATGCGCTCTCCATCCGACGCACGCAGTATGTTTTTAAAACATCAGAAACATCACTTAGAAAAGTCTTTGACAGAAGGCGTCACAAACAGTGCAATCAATATCTGGCAGTGTATCCGTGGCTCCTCGTTTGTGGAGAAGCATAAATCCTGCCGAGCGGCCCGCTGGAGCAGTGAGCTGCGATGCATGTCAGACGTGAGAGACAATGCATGCTTGTCTCATCCAATAGGACAACCGGCAGCTGTGTTACGCAAAGGTCTTGGCTCACAGTCCGACGTAGCTATCAGACCAGCATTTTAATTAGACAATTCCTCATTCGCCGCTCAGTAAAGATGCGCGCTGCATGCCAATTATCACATTGCCGGGTGCGGCCTGATGCTTCTCGTTGCATTGCGCGTCTGCAACTTGCGTATTCATCATTGAGCGTGAGAAAAAGGGTTGCGACCGCAACCGTGTACCGCATATTGCCGGACAGGGAATCCAACGCGGCAACTAAGCACATATGCACCGCCCGTAATGCCAGTGGGATCTGCGAGTGTCCTTCCTAATATCAAGCAAGCTCAGTAATATCCCCTCCGGCCACGACATCGAAGAAGGCATCAGCAAGATAGCCCCCACGCGACGTCGGCTTTCCGTACTTATCCGTCGCCATGCCGGCAATGGAGGGGGCGGCAACGTCCCGCATGTAGCCCGCAATCCCTTCCTTCTTGAACTTCTCGGCGAACTGCTTGGCGTGCAGACTGAGGCCCTGGGTCGCCCAGATTGGCTGGACCTGCCACACAATGCCCATCTTGGCAATGTCGGCCGGGAACGTCTCAACCTCCTGCGTTGAGTACCCTCCCTTGCTGAAGTCATACGCACCCGTGTATCCGAAGGCGAAGAGACGGTTCGGGTACGCCTCGCGGAGGGCTGTGTGGAACTCGTGCATGTCTTTCTTGTCTGGGAAGAGGGTTAGCGGTTATTCGCCAGTCAAGTGAGGGGGTTTGCGGGAGGATGCACTTGGTTTGTCTAATAAGAATGTCAGCGTCTAACGCATGTGCTTTGTGATGTTTCAACCAAACGCACCTTGACGACTCCACGTCACATCACCGAGAGGCGCGGCGAGAATGCATCGATCAATGACAGCTTTGGTGGACCATTGCCACATGTACTGGCCCAAGGGCGTCCTGGGAAGTTCCCAGTCGAATGTAATATCCTGACCGACGATACGCTTGGCGGCAGCTCGTCGGTCCTGCAATGCAACGGTCTTGTCGACGACTTCTGTCATGTAGACCTCGTATTGTTCTTTGGTTGCCACGGAGTTGACAGCTTCATCGAAAGTCATGAGACCGGCAGAGGCCTTCCACTCGGATTTGACGGTAAGATAATCCTTGCCTGATCCTTTGCCCTCCTCGATTGCTTGGATGAAGGAGCTAACCGGCTTCGTCGCGCCGAGCACATAAGGGTGGTCTCGGGGGTCAATCACGCTTGTCAAAAAGTAAGCATACGTGGCGAAGGACATGAGAGACAACAAAAATGGAAGTTGGAAGTCCCGGAGTGGGAAAGAAAGGGGGTTGTATCTCACCTCGTGATGAACTCGGCATGGTCGCTATCACACCGACAGAGAAGCATAGTGTCCGCACTATGAATGTGATTAGAGCGCATCCGTCTTGGTATTGCTTTGCAATTACTCACCCCATAATGTCGAAAGTCATTCTCACAGTGGTCAGCCTGGACAAGTAGTCTGACGTGGGCACGATAGTCCGCCCTTCGCCATTGGTGAACTTCTTGAGACCCATTGCCAGATCATCGATATGGATCATCGCGACACCGGCCTCTACAAAGCTCCTTGTCAGCTTCATGCATCCAGTCAATGTGCCAAATCCCATATCAGCGTCGGCAACAATGGGCAGCATGTAATCGATGCACTCGAGCGCCTCACGGTCGGCTTCGCTGTACCTCATTCTCAGCTGTGTCTGTCGCTGGTCGTGGAAGAGCTGGGTGTTGAAGATTCGCTTGACGACAGATGGCACGAGGTCGGCAGGATAGTCGGCATGGTCTTCACCGGGCCAGGTGGCTTGTGATAGCCCGCAAAGCGCGCCAGAGACATACACAGTTTGCACTGCTCAGCGTTAGCGGACTGGAAAAACACGCCATCGCAGTTGTTATGGTAATCCTTCGTACTTGTCTTTGCCATCTCCTTGGCAATCAGGGGCTCAGTTGTTCCGAATGTGAGTTCGTATGTGCCATTGTCGTTGTGCTCATTCAGGATGCGCCAAAGCTTCCTTCCCTGAACACTGGAGGGATAGTCGATCTTAAATCCAACATTCCTCAAAGCGGCGATAGATTTGGCTGTGTATGGTCTGTTACAAGTTAGACGGAACAAGTACTAATAACACCCTCCAACACTCCGTCACTGTGATCGACAATGCTAGTGAGCCTGGTCATAGCAAAAAGGAATTTAATAAATGGGTGGCTTAGGCAGAAATTAAGATATGTATTGGGGTTTTGAAAGGAAAGATACAAACCTCTTGATGTGTTTTTGCCTATCGGTCTCCCACCACGCCTCAATCTCCTTGACCTCCGCCGCGAAGGCATCGCTCTCAGCTTTGACGTCGGGCCACTTTAGAGACATCTTTCACAGGATTTGATGGAGTTTATGATGCGATACAGAGTAATCGAGAATAATGACCAGCAAGAATCTGGTTTGTTCATTACGTTGTGTTCGTGCGGGGGCAACGGTCCTTTTTGCCATCATCTCGCGACTACACTGATCAACAAGCCGCTCGGCCTACCTTACCCGACGTCGGACACCAACAATCCATCCCATCATCCCCTCATTATTTCCTATCGATGCTGAGCCTCAACCACGCCATCCGTGCCGTGCCAGTGATAGGCGATAGGCAAGGCCAATCCATCGGTCGGGCGTCGGGATCCTGTCGGAGTGCACCCCTAGCGCCCGACGACGTTGCAGGGGTCCCCAGCCACCATCGGGGAACGTCTCCCGATAAGAAACTCCCGGCAACGAGGGGGAGGGGCCGGGAAACTCAGTCCACAGCCGTGTAAGCCGTGTTGTCCGACCATCATATCCAGCAGGCAATCGCAGGATCACCTCAATGTCCTCCCGAAGTTTCCAAGCACTCATGTAAGTAGCTCTGCGCAACACTCTTATCAATCAATATGGGCAGCAACATCGCCAGCACCGCCGTCAAACCGACATCTCTCATTAATCTCCAGCTAGGATGGCCTTCACCCCGTCTCTTTGCCGCAAGCGGTCTCCTCGAGGGGGCCAACCAGGTCCTCAGTTCAGACACTGAGACAGCCGCTGCGCTCGTCTACGGTCCTCACGTCGGACATCCCCCTCTCCGCAAAAGCGTGGCAGAATGGCTCTCCTCGGTCTACGGGACGCCAGCTGATCTCGACAGAATAAGCATCAGCAACGGCGCCTCGGGCAATCTGGCCAACGTTCTGTTGAAATTCACCGATCCGCTCTACACGCGGAAGATCTTCATGGTTGAGCCGACATACTTCCTCGCGTGTCCTATCTTTGAAGACAATGGGTTCCAGGGCAAGCTGAAAGGTGTCCCTGAGGACAATGAGGAAGGTCTCGACATTGCTTTTCTTCGCCGGGAGCTGGAAGTTGCAGAGGCACAAGCATTGGAAAAGGCGAACGTCTCTGGAGAACTAGATGCCCCGACGATCAAGACTGGCAAGACATATCCAAGAATCTACAAATACGTCATCTACCTCGTCCCGACCTTTTCCAACCCCAGCGCAAAGACTCTTTCTCTGCAGATGCGGAGGGATCTTGTCAGCCTTGCTCGCGAGTACGACGCTCTTGTAATTTCAGACGATGTCTACGACTTTCTGAGCTGGCCTGAAGATCCCGCTGCTCCTGTCGACGCTGTAGCCACTGTCCCGCCTCGCCTCGTCGATATCGACCGAGAGATGCCCGGATGCAGTCATTTTGGAAACACTCTCAGCAACGGCTCGTTTTCTAAAGTCATTGGACCGGGTGTTCGAGTCGGATGGGCGGAGAGCACGCCAGCCTTTGCTAAGGAGCTGGGAGAGGTGTAAGTCACGAGTGTCATTCCTCCTCTTGTTGTTCTGTCTTTGACTAATGCACTTAAATCAGCGGTTCTTCAAGCTCAGGCGGTGCTCCTTCACACCTCACCTCTACCTTCGTCGACAAGATGCTCCGAAACGGTCAGCTCCAATCCCATATCAAAGACACGCTCGTTCCCACGTACCGAGAGAGATACTACGTGCTCATGGCAGCCATCGAAAAGGTTTTGGTTCCTCTCGGGGCTCGCGTGGAAGGGAACACGCCCAAAGACGCGGGTGCAGCGACTGCAGGGGGTTTCTTCACGTATCTTAGACTACCAGACGACCTTCCCGTTGCCAAGAACGTAGCCGCCATTGCGCTGAAGGATCAACAGTTGCGCGTGGCTTTTGGTCACATGTTCACCGTCACTGGAGACGAGAGCAGCGTGTCTCGGGCGGAGGCAGAAGATGGGTTTGCCCGATGTATCAGACTTTGCTGGGCGTGGCATGAAGTTGCGGAAATCAAAGAGGGGATTGACAGACTAGGTGCTACGATTGTTGACGTCAGGGAAAGGATCGAGAAGGGAGAAGACTTGAGTAGCCCTGTAACTATTGGAATCAGGTAGTCAAATTGGACATACAGAATGGAAATGTCATAGTAGATCACAGTCGAAGTCCTAGTCCGACAGTCCTACGTGCTTGGTCTTGTTTTCCCAAATTGAACCGAGTATTGAGTTTGATGGTAGATTTCAACCCGGAAAATAGTCCATCCCAATCATTGAATCGAGGCTGTCACAAATTTTGACAGCAAAGTACCACGCTATGAAGACATCAGAGCTCCGACGCATGATGAAAGATCTCTCATTGATCTCTAAACTCCCACGAAAGTACTACTGTTATACCTTCTGATATCCTCAACGGTTGCTCTGAAATAATTGAAGCAAACACCAACCAAACTCGGTCTCATCTTCTAGCCTCAAATAATGGTAGCAGAGTTGCGAACAGGCTCCACAGCGCCCACCAACTTATTCTCAATCTCCTTCTCTTGAGCATCCACAGGGTCAGCAACCTCAGCCTCGGAAGCCGGCTGGTTCTCAACTGCCGCAGCCTCTTGCCGGAGCTGTCGTTTGTGCAGAAAGTCCGCGACAACTACCAAACGCTCGTTAGCACTCCTATTTATTTTCTAGGATGTGGGTTTGACTTACGGACGAGTACCACCGCAGCAAGCGCAAAGGACAAAATCGAAGGGAACCCTCGCTCGAACGTGGGAGCCATGGTCTGGGGAAAGATGAGAATCGGCAGGAAAGAGTCTGTTCACCACCCGTTAGTCGCAAAGTCTCTGATGGAATGACAGGTAGCTTACTGGTTGCGTAGAACAATCCGTTCATGCTGGAGATCGTCAAGGCTCTCTCCTCGGCGTTGCCGTTGTTGACCTCGTTGGCCCAGGTCTGCTCCCAGTCAGCCGAAACCATCATTCAGGAGATACAAGAAAGTACTCACCCAGGTCACGGCAGTCACGTAACCGCAGGCAACCAAGAAGAAGCCCGCAACGCGAGCGCCGTCGGAGGCGGGGTAGGCGGTGAGGATAGAGGAACCGACGACGGTGGTGCCGAGCTGTGAGATCTTGTCAGTAGTTTCTCTCTGAGGGAAGAGAGAGGGAGATTTACCAATGGGCCAACCATCCACATAGGTCGGTTCCCTGTCAGATCCGACATGAAGCCCCACGAAAAGTCGGTCACCATCGTGACGAGGTTGGCGCAGGCCGGGATGACGTTGCGCTGGGTAACGCTGTAGCCGTTCTCGCCTATCACCCGTTAGCTTGGCCCCTTGTCTGACCTCCAAATACAAGACATACGCAGGTAGATGGCGAAGTAGTTGTTCGCCTGGCACGAGTTTCCATACTACCAACAACTGTCAGCAACCTCCAACCACACGCTTCAACCAACCCAGAAACAAAGGGGAGACTCACAAAGATGTACATCAGACACAGCACCCACCACCTCCAGTTCCCAAACATGCGCTTTACGAGCTTCAGGTCCATGACGCCCGTGATCTCGACGCGGCCCAGCTTCGCAGAGCGCTGCATCGCGAGCTGCTTGTCCTCCTCGGTGATGTACCACGCCGTCGTGTTGTGCGGGTAGTCTGGCAGCAGGAACCACACGGACAGCGCGATCGGCAGGCTCATGCACCCGCAGATGATGTACATCCAGCGCCAGCCCGCCATGCCGAGGTGCCCGTCGAGGCCCTTGTGGATGCCGGCCTGGAGGAAGCCCGAGGTTGCCTGCCCGAAGAAGCCGGTGACGTGCCAGACGGCGACGCGCCTTTGGGTAGAGTCAGTATTCTGTTTGGACGTGTGGGATGTGGGAGGTGGGGGACGCACTTTGCGAGTTCTGTCTTGGTGTACCACGATCCGAGCAGGAAGATTATGATGGGCGAGAAGGGGCTTTCGAAGAGGCCGACCATGAAGCGGAAGGCGTACATCTGGTTGCTTGTTTGGGCTGCAGCTTGCGCGAAGCTGTCATCCTGGGTTAGCTTCTCCTTAGGGAATGGTGGGATTTCAGATGCAATCTTACGTGAAGGCTGTCCAACCGAGCTCGCAGACCACAAGGCAGATACGAGGACGGACTTTGAGGGCGATCATGTTTGCTGGGATTTGCATAATGGCGAAAGCAATGGTGTAGCACACTGCAAAACACAATTCCGTTAGACAATTTCATCTCCGCCGACGACTTTGAACACTTACTTAGCATGTATGTGTACTCGTTCCCCTTGATGTTCAAATCCTCCTTCATGCCACTGACGTCTATCACTTTTTGTCAGAACACCATCTCCCTCTTCGAAAGGGGCTACTCACATGCGTTGGTGATGTTACTCTGGTCAATGTATTTCATCCACTACCAACCTCGTTAGCAACCCCAAAGACGACAAGGAGGCCCTAGAGGAGACTCACCCATCCCAACGTCGCACAGATGAGAATCCCAAAATCCAACTTCCTCACCAGAGCCCTCTCTTGCGGACTTTTCAGATGTTGATCCGCGTCCCATAGGTGATACAAAATCTTCTTTCCAAAGGAGACGTTGTGCGCCTCGTGCGCGCCAACGCCAATGTCAGAAGCAGCGGGAGACATGGCCGAGTTGACCTCGTGGCTTTTCTTGCCGTCCATCACTGAGTCGCCTTGTGTGCGAATTGAACAACGAAAGTCTTCAAAACACGGCTTCCGCAAATTAAGATAGTAAGGAACCGGTGGGAGTTTCGACACCGAGGCACACCTTGGACAACAACTCTTATTCCATAGTGTAAGTTTTATTATCCTCCCACAGAACACGGGTTAATGATAACCAGCCACCACACCAACTCGACCCCTGGTTGCATCTCCCATCCAACTGCATGTTATCAACAGTATCAGCAGATCAAAAGCGCAAGCCAAGACCTCAACGCCCCCGGTGGATCCCCTCAATCTTTCGGCATCCTGCCCGAAGATAAGCTGCATCGAACACACATTGCGCCCCTCTTGTCGGGCGTCGTCCGACGTATCCCCCCTTCTTCTCCCCCCGATCGCTTTCCCCGCATTCTTATCATTCTATACCACCCCCCCGGTCCCCGGATAAGCACCCCCGTCCGCCGGGGCGGCCGGCGTCCATCGGCCGACGTCGGGGTACGAAGCAACGCGATTGTGCTCTCTAAAACAGCTACAGCGACGACGTCAGCCATCTCTCCGTCCTACCCAGATTGTGTGTTACTGTTTGCGCATTCCATCTCCCACCAGCACGTCCTCAGAACACTACTCATCACACCTACCGCCAAAAATGTCCTCCTCAGTGCCCCCCGACCAGCTCGCCCTGGCCCGCGAGACGGTCCGCCCTAACCTCGTCAAGAGCCTCATGCGCCAGAACCGCCTCGCGCACTCCTTCGGCCTGCGCGTCGCGTTCTCCACCGAGATGCCCCTCGTCGCCAAGCGCGCGGGCTACTCGGCCGTGCTGATGAACCTCGAGCATATGGCCATGAGCATGGAGACGATGAAGGATATCGCTGTGTCGTGTCTGAACGTGGGGTGAGCAAGCCTTTTCCCCATCACAACTCCTCGGGGATAGGTACAGCCTAACGAACTGTGCAAATTACTGACGGATGTTATTATAAATCACAGAATCACGCCTACAGTAGTCGTCCCAACATGCTCCCAGGAATGGATCTCGCGCTGCCTCGACTCCGGCGCGCAGGCCGTCATCGTCCCGCACGTCAACACCGTGGAACAGGCAAAGATGTGCGTCGACGCGTCGAAGTTCCCTCCCCTCGTGAGTTGCTTTTCGTCCTCTGCCACAACCTCCACCTCCCTTCCAAAGCTTACACGAAACTCACGTCTCCAGGGCCACCGCTCAGTCACAATGGTCACCGCAATGACCCAGTACACCACGCAACTATCCTACGCTGCCATCGCCGAAGTCGTCAACGACGAGGTGCTCATCATGCCCATGATTGAGACGAAAGAGGGCGTGGAGAATGTAGAGTACGTGTACATCCGCTTCTCTAGAAGAACCATTCCCGCGCGACTCCTTGCTAAAACTGTCTCTAGGGCCATCGCCGCGGTACCCGGCATCGACGCGCTCTTCATCGGATGCGCAGACCTCTGCATGGAGTATGTCCTCCTACCATCGTTTACACAAGACTCGACTGACGGTGATTAGGCTGGGCATCCCCGGACAATACGATTCGGAGCTGTTCCACTCCACCGTGGCCAAGATCGCAGGCGCAGCCGAGAAGGCGAGCGTAGACGGACGCAAGGTGTTCGTCGGACTGGGAGGGTTGGAGCCGAGGCCAGATCTGCTTGAAGAGTTTGCGAAGAGACATGCTCCTTTTCGGTAGGCAGAAATTTTCACATAAACCTTTGATTGATACTGACACACCATCGACAGATTCGCCATGGCGGGCCGCGACTTGGCTCTGCTTCTAGCTGGTATGTCAAAACAAGCAGCGTCAATGAACGAGATTTCAACAAGACTTCAGTAAAAACTTTAGCCCAAAAATATGAAGAAAAAAAGATGTAACAATTTGTACCACACTAAGCACTAATATTCCGTCCCAACGCCGTGCCAAGCAGTCTTGCCACAAACAAACACGTTAACTCCGTGCAATATCCCTCGCTCGCAATGCTAAAGTCTTACACGCAAGATATGAGAAAGAAAAAAAAATTTGGGCTCGTCATGCGGTTGATTGAATTGGTGGTGTAGGTTAGCCTAGGCTTTAGTCGCCCTCCCAAACGTTCGTCACGTTTCTCAGCGACGAGGGCTCGATGCGGCCGGCGGCGGTGCGGGTTCGGCCACGGGGTTCGCCAGTGGTGCCGTACTGGGGGCTCAGATCGCGGTATGTCACGGGCACGTCGGACTCGTCGCCACTGTCATTCGGAGCCTCGGCGGCGGCGGCGGCAGCGGCTGATGTGAGGAGGGGTCGGGTGCGCTCACGCTCCTCGATGGGGCGGTCCGAGAGGTGTCGCCAGCCCTGTGCCCACCACGCGTGCCTCCAGTTGCTGGCGCTTTGTGTGTAGAGCATGGTGAGAATCTGATGATAGGTGGTCAGCCGTGAATATCCAAATGCACATGATGAGGCAAACGCACCTGCAAGACACCGACAACTAACACGACGCCCAGGTCGATGCTCGAGTTCCTAATCGTTGCCTCGCGCCATGGTCCCATGCACGGGGTGTCACGCCCGTATCTCTGGGCGCATTGCACGTCTGCCCGGAATGGCCAGGCACGGTCCTTGACGCTGTTCAGACCACAGCAGTCCAAGCTGTCCTGGATGCGTCGAATGGCAGATTCGTCCTTGCCAGCAAACATATGCTGCCAGGTGGTCGACAGTCCGCAGTTCAAGTCGGCACCAGGAAGAGAAGTCTGAAGGAAGAGGACGACGATGGCGGTGGTCAAGACTCCCTGCAAGCTCTGCAGGATCGTTGGAAGCAGCTGCTCGGTGCGTGCGAGCGACTGGCTGGCGTTGAAGAGAAGGCGAGGACGGTAGAAGGCATTGACAGCGCCAATGATAGGCAGGATGATGGGGAGAAAGCTCAAAAACGGCGCGGTCGGGAGGGAGAGTCTCGAGCTCGAGACGTGAGTGACGCTGCGCGATGGTCAGTATGATTGAAACCGAATGAAGCTGATGATCTGTGGAGGGGGAGGACTTACATGGCCGTCACAAGAAGGGCGACGCAGATCTGATAATCCCAGTCAGGTTAGCGAACGAAATGGGGAATGCAACGCTGCAGTGCCGCCTGAAGTCCGTGGGCTGCTCACCAAAAGGTACACAATCCCCGGGTTGACCATCTTGGCGTCCAGTCTCTGCCACAACTGCACCGGATATCTCAAGTCGACAAGACGAAGTTGAACGGGCGATGCCAAAACGTGGGAAGGCGTGGTGGCTCACATGTAAATACCCTGGAGAACCAGCGTAGCATGGAGGAAAAAGAAGTGGAGGACGGGAGAAGAAGGGTGTGGCGTTGGCCGTCGGGTCTCCAGGCGCCGATCTCTGCGACGAGAGGGGAAAGCTAACCTGTGGCCCCCAAATCGGACACCCTCTAGCGGCAGTAGGCAGCGAGCCCGCCCCCAGTTAATTAGGTCGACGCAGAAGGAACTTGGGAAGACGCCGCAGCTTCAGACGTCATGGGCAACCCTTCTGAAGCTCCCTCAGAAGCTTACTCCCTCACATTTGAGCACGCAATAGGCCAGCAGGGTCTTGGGATGCCTGGGGAGTCATCGTTGGGCACACTACTGCCGGAGGCCCGCGTAGGCATGGGACGGGGGTTCTTTGGTGGAATGCTGCTGGACCCCGCATGCTGTGCGACCGCACTGGACTGAGACGAGGAGAGGAGAGGACACCGTGGGTGCGTGGGAGGTGGGAGGCGAAGGCGATGTTGCTCATCCCGTGGCCCTTTGCGCTGTCGATCACGATGCGATTTGCACCTCCTCGCCTCTCGTCCCCGGTCGCATGTGTGTTGTCTTGATGATTCTCAATGCACCCAGCCATGCCATGCCATCCATCAAAACCCGTCCATCAAACGATTTGTCGCTTGCTTCTCGTCATGAGCGTCTGGCGGTGTGCCGCTCGCCGCTTTCGGGTAAAAATAACGCACAAGGTGAGCTGAGGATGACGACAGCGGCCGGCAGGGAGCCATCTGGCTGGGTTCGACGGATGGAGGGCGCCTTCGAGCTCCCCTGCTGCTTGTTCCCTGTGCAGCTGCGCTACCCGTGGTTCGTCTGGCCAGCCATGCCAATTCGATGTTTGCCTCCCCGTTAGACCCCAGACTTTGGAGGGCCTAGCCATCACCGACCGAGACGGCGCCCAAAGACCCTTGGAGGTGCATGCACTACCGCCAATGGAGCTCGAGGGGTTGGGAGCAAAATGTGTCTGCGGGCGCAATTGGCGAACAGCATTCGGTCGCACAGCTTCCATGGCTCAATCAGAATTGGTGGCCATATCTTTGTCGTTTCGAATCGAAAAGCTTGGGTTGTCCCGCCAGTAGATATCCTAGCAATGCGTCCCGCGTTGGGCTAGCGTACAAGAGACCAACGCACGCGCCTCAACATGCCCCCGGGACGGCCTGGATGGGAGTGAAAGCTCGCGACCAGACTGAAGCTCTGGGTCCTTTCCGTGTGGCAACACATGAACACGGCGAAGGGGATCCTGGCTGAGACGTCCAAGCTTCCATCAGCAGCATTCGATTGTCGGTTGTAAGCCACGATCATTCCTCGATGATTCTTCGAATTCTCCGGAAAACTGAGATCACTGTGCAGTGTCACGACCCCGCCATTCCCACGACGCAACCAGCACATCCCGAATAGTCAAGTGGTGTTTGACATGACACGAGGAGATGGAACAGACGTCTTTGCATCGGAGAAAAGAAGACGCCAATGTCTGGGGACGGAAAGGTCTGGCTGCAGGTTCACGGTGTGACGGACCCACAAGGCTGAAAGAGTCCCTGAGTGCCGTTCCGGACAGGAAGATGCCGAGCCGGTAGAACGGCGCCGAAGTGGATCCATCATCGAGGATGATGTTGGAGATTCGGCTTGATCCTGGGGCGCTGACGACGCTGGCACTGCATCGTGGGGTCGACTGCTTGGCTTGGAGTCTCTGGGAGTGCTGATTGGGCCGGACAGCTCAGCTCAGCTGGGCGGGCGAGAGAACAGCTGGCTAGCCAGCGAAACAGGATGCCGTGTTGAAGCCTATGTGGCTGAGCCAGGATAAGACGGCGGTAAAGTGCCGATCGTCGCAACGGACTCTGAAATGGTCTCGTCGGCCTCAGAGAACCGGCAGTCGCGCAGTCGCGTTGGCCATGTCGGACGAGATGCGTTGGCCGCCACAGGCTTGAAGAAGATGGCGCAGGCTTTCAACATCATAGCCCGTGTGTCCATTTCAGATGCTCTCAGTGCGTCGAAGAGTTGGATGCTTGTTCTAGAAGACCATGCCCGTCTGAGGGAGGTGTTCTCTGGAAGGATTCAGAGGATGAGACGAACCAGTGGACGAAGAACTTCAAGAAGGTGGTGAGGGGCACGTTTTAACCTGTCTTATGTAAGGCCTGAGCTAACCTGAACAGGTCATATCTGGCGTCTTCCATTGGCCACAGCTCAACCAGCTCCCCAGTTATCGGCTCCACACCAAAAGAACCCCTCCATCGCGCCGGCGCATTCTGAGCAGGAGCTGAGGGGCATTTGGGGGCGCATTCAAGGAAGGCACCACACCAGCTGCGACCCGACGCGGCGTGCATCAGCCAAGCTTGACGTCGTCTGGTTTCCCTGCCGCCGCTCCCTGCGTCTTCTTGCCTTCATCATCATCTCCTCTCCGCATCTTATCTCACCTCACCTCGACTCTTCAAATATCCCTACTCCGTGCGCCAGAGCTCGAGCGCAGACGACAGACGCCCGCCCTCCCTCCTGAGTCAGAACCCACCTGTCGCTCCTCAACATGGCTGCGCAAATAACCTCAAAGCTTGCCAACCTCAATCCCTTCTCCAAGCGCGCCCCCGAGGATGAGGAAGAGCTCGGCGAGAAGACGGACCACTCCACCCTCGCCGGTGGAGGCCACGCCGCCCGCGACTCCGACCTCAAGCACCGCCTGCGCGTGAGTCGCGCAATCAAGTCCTTCCTGGTCGACCAGAAGGTTCTGTCCTCCAAGGAGGCGGACATCGATTCGGACCAGCCCTCCCGCGCCCTGCAGGCTCTCGTCGACAAGCCTCACATCAGCGTGCCGCGCGAACTCACTGACAGGTCCCACCCGCTGCCCGAGTACTTCATCAGCTCCAGCCACAACACCTACCTCCTGGCCCACCAGCTTTATGGAAGCTCCTCGGCCGAGGCCTACGAAGACACTTTGCGCGCTGGTGCACGCTGCGTCGAGATTGATGCCTGGGACAACCCCGACAACAAGGACGAGCCAAAGGTCACCCACGGCTACACCCTGGTCTCTCACATCCCCTTCCGTGCCGTGTGCGAGACCATCCGCGATGTCGTCGACCAGGAGGCGAGAGATCCTAACCCGGCTGCCCCCATCCTTCTGTCTCTAGAGAACCACTGCGACCCAGAAGGGCAGATGCGCCTCGTTCATATCATGAAGGAAGTCTTTGGCGACAGGTTGCTGAGCAAGGCGGTGCGAGAGAAGGGCCACGCGGAGCAGGAAGGCGACAGCCCTGTCCGTCTCGAGGAGCTCGGCAACAAGATCGTCCTCATTGTCGAGTACCACTTCCCAGGCGAGCCTGACGACAGCAGCTCCAGCTCTGACGACGAGGATGAGGAAGAGAGAAAGAACCACGAAGCCTACAAGGCCAAGAAGAAGGCTGCCCCAAAGACGCTCATTGTTCCCGAGCTCGAGGCGCTCGGCGTCTACGCCCAGTCCGTCAAGCCAGTCGACAACTCCTGGTACGAGGACATTCTCAAAGACGGGCCTCACCACCACCTCATTAATGTGTCCGAATCTGGCCTCGCCTCCCACATGCCCGAGGCGAGCGACAAGATCTCCCGACACAACGCTCAGCACCTCATGCGCGTCTTCCCGAAGGGCACCCGTATTTCATCTAAGAACCTCCATCCGGTCCCTTTCTGGGGCATCGGTGCTCAAATCTGCGCTCTCAACTGGCAGACCTTTGGCGCATCGATGCAGCTCAACGAGGCCCTCTTTAGTGGTTCCGAGGGCTTCATCCTGAAGCCTGCCGCGCTCCGGGCTGGCGGCTCCGGCCATCTTGATTCGGGAGGCAAGAAGAAGCTGCGTCTCCACGTTGGCGGTGCCACCGACGTACCTATCCCTTCAAAGCGTGATGACGACGAGCCCATCAAGCCCTACCTCACCTGCACGCTTGTACACCCGCATGATCTGTCCATGGAACCCCCTAAGAGGAAGACAGCAGGGTACAGGCAACACAAGCTCACGGGCTTCTTGCACAAGGGCGAGAACCCACCACCGACGGAACCGCTCTGGGACGAGACGCTAGAGTGGGAGTACCAGGACAACGAGATGGTGTTCTTGCGAATGCTCATTAAGAGCGACGACAGCTTCGCGAGGAACCCGATGCTGGCAGTCGGGGCCGTGCGGCTGGCTTACACCGTACCTGGCTGGGTCTTTATCCGGATGTTGGATTTGAAGGGCAGAGAGACGACGTGCTCCATTCTCGTCCGCTTCGAGATTGTTGATGCATAATGAGGGATGACCATAGTAGTCTAATGAATTGATGTCAACTTTTCTTATCTCGTCGCTGTTTGTTGCGATTCCGACCCATCTTTGGAATGTTAGCGGTGAGAATCCAATCGAGATGTGGTCCTGAAGGTCGAAATAGACTTTCCGACTCCCTGCTATCATCCCAGTCTTTCGTACCGACGACGTCGGCTCCATTTAACCCTGGGTCTGCTGGCCAACGACATCTCAAGCATTTTGATGTGGTGCTCCAGCTCGGTCTACCTCCATGGCGTGTTTGTTATAATCATGCCATGGGACCTAGCCTAGGCCCTCGTCTCGGGCTGGTGTTCAAGGGTATCGCGAGTCATAGCTTCGCCATACATCACTTCGCAAGACGTCGTACTTTGCGCGTATTCATAGCGCGGTGTTCGTGTTCTTGCCTCCACTACCTAAATATCTACCTAGTTACTATGCACTTACATGGCGTCTCAGTGACGAAGAGATTCGTGGGTATCATTGCATTAGGGTACTTGAAAACACACAATATGATAAGACTTTGAGGAAGCTATCGGCTCTGATATCCTTCGGATCAAGCGAGTTGGGTAGAGGCAGAAATTTCAATAGAACAAAGGCCCATATATGTAGCGGTATATGGGGGAGGGTCCGACTTTAGCGAAGCTCACACCATGAGGACAAGGTACGAGTCAGGATATCAATAAAATTGCGCAGAGTCGATTGGAGGAACATCGTGTCGGTGCTGATCGTACTTAAAATCATGACTCCACCGAACAAGAAATACGGAGGGCATTGCCGATGTGCTTGGCGTCCTGGTGGGATGTGGGGAAGTTGACAGAGTCAGTCGAGGTCCAATTTCAACGTTCACTGACCAGGGCCATATAATCCCGCCCAGTCGATATTTCATACTCATAGATAGAGCGCAAGACAATGAGTGAATTATATAAATGCTAACCCAGCTGACTTCATCCCACCGGTTTACCATCTCAATCTGCATCGACCATCCCTTCATCTTCATTGTAAGCAACCCCACCTCCATATATAAAACCTTCGTCCATTCCCTAACACACCAGAAGCAACCCAACCCATCACCATCTCCCATCTCACGATGCGCGTCTCCGCCTTTCTCACCCTCGCCTTCGCGGCCTACGCCTCCGCGTGCGCCAGCTACAACGACTGCCACTGCTACGACAGCAACGGCGTGCCCAACAACGGGGCGACCAAGTCCGTGTGCGACCACTTCGGCGGCAGCATGATCAAGGCGGAGCGCGAGTACGGCGCGAGCACGACGTACCAGGAGTGCGAGGTCAAGACGTACGGCGGCGCGTCGAGCTTCGATAACTGCGACTGGCGGAGGCGGTGCCAGGGGGCCGGGGCGACGGGGGCGGATTCAAGCTGTCGGTCGAAGTATCCTTGAGCGAGAATGAGTTTGGAGATGGAACGGGTTCGAGGGATTTAGTTCGGGGATGATGTGAGTTATGGATAGATAGGTGGACATTTTACTAGGCCAAAAGTGTTACTGAGCCAAAAGATGATCGACTATCCCTCCATCGCTTGGTTGGAGTTACATGGTTATTCCTCCATGGTCGCACAGCTTGTTGCATTGCTAAAATAGCCGTCTGTTACAGATCAGCAGGATGGCCGGTTAAGGCATTTTCGAATTTTCGCTAGTTTATTTGCATGCGTTGATAGCAGACTCCCGCCTTGGAGCAAACTGGAACTGCTCGTCAAACTTAGCCCCAAGTGCTGCGCTCGGTAACTTCACCTTAACCCGAATCATATCAAAGAGGAAAACTCTTAGGTTGCGGTAAAGAAAGGACCTGATCGACAACGTTCCCGAAACTTGTGGGGTGCAGCTTACGGGGGCTTGGCAGGCACACTTCCCCGTGGGGTAAGTCACCTCTCCCGCGCGTTCGTCCGATGCTCCGGGCCAGATCTCCCGACAACGACCCACGGACCTAAAGCCAGGACAGGATCCCCGGGGAATGTGATTCGGACCAAGTTATCAGGCCAGGGGTTGGTGATCTTGTGGTACTCTGCCAAGACCTGGATTGTTTCCTCCTCCAATGGCGGCCCTTCGCTTGAGGAAATGCCGTCTGCGCGTAATGTCGTTCGTGCGGCCGAACGACATCTACCGGCGCGCCAAAACCATGAGTTAACGTGAAGAGAAACTGCGTATTTGCATCTCGGGACCAAGAGGACGAGGACGCGATATTGCAGCGGGAAAAACAAGCTCACGCACGAGGTAGCCGGCCACCGAGAAATATAAATGAGTGAAAGAATTTCTCTTGAATTTGATTCTTGGTAATAGAGACCCAAGCCAGCAAACTCTCTAGTACAGCAACCTTCCTGTACCTACCTCAGACATTGATCATGAAGTTGCAAACAACCTTTCCCGCCATCCTTGCTCTCTTGAGCGGCCTGTTGGCCCACGCAGCTCGGCCCTTGGAAAACCTCGGCCGAGGTGTAGTCGCCGTCCGCAGAAGCGATGAGGAGATCCTCGTTTCTTGGCGGCTCCTAGGCCTTGACCCCAGCGGGATCGGCTTCAACGTCTACCGTGACGCGGGCGGAAGCCCTGAGAAGCTCAACAGCGCCGTTCTCACCGGCGGCACCAACTTTGTCGACTCTACCGCCGACCCAGACGAGGTCAATACCTACTTTGTCAAGCCGGTCATCAGCGGCAAGGAGCAAGACGCCAGCGGATCCTTCAGCCTCCCGGCTGATAATGCCGTCGAGCCCGTCGTTCGTGTCCCCATCAACAGCGGGGGCGCCGTCAAGTTTGTCTGGGTCGGCGATCTGGATGGCGATGGTGAGTGGGACTTTGTCCTTGATCGCCAGACGTCGCCTCAGTCCCTCGAAGCGTACACCAGCAACGGGACACTTCTGTGGCAGATTAGTCTGGGGCCCAACAGCGAGAACCAGAACAATATTGAACCTGGATCTGCAACGATTGATGTGGGCCACTGGGACGGTGCGACTGTATTCGATTTCGATAGTGACGGCCGGGCGGAAGTCGCTCTGAGAATCGCCAACGGCGTCAAATTCGGAGACGGCACAACTTTCGATGATGGCGAGACCGACGACCATCAGTTCATGGCCATCATCGACGGACTTACCGGCGCCCTCCGCGCCACTGCCCCTGTGCCCACAGACTACATCGAAGACGGCCCAATGGGTGCGCGCTTGGGTGCTGGGTTCCTTGATGGAGAGACGCCCCATCTCGTTGCCTACATGAAGAACCGCCAGGACTCGGGAGCCTTCAATCTGATCTACGCGGCCTACACCTTCAACGGTAAAGCTCTCACGCAAGAGTGGCAGTGGAACCGGGGTCACGGCAATTACTCGGACGGACACAACACGCGTATCATCGACGTGGACGGCGATGGGAAGGACGAAGTCTTTGAGATTGGGTTTGGTCTCAACGGCGACGGAAAGCCTCGCTATTCGCTCAACGACCAGGGCGTTGTCCACGGCGACCGCTACCACATTGCCAAGATGGATCCTGACCGCGAGGGCCTCCAGGGGTATGGCGTTCAGCAAGACAACCCGAGCCTTTTGTACGAGTACTACTACGATGCCGACTCTGGCGAGATTCTCTGGAAACACTACGGCGATGAGGTCGGCGACAATGCGCGAGGTATGGCTGGAGACATTGATCCCAATCACGAGGGCATGGAGGTTTGGTCGTTCAACGCGAAGGAAGACGAGCTCACTGAGTCCGACACCTCCCTTGCTCCCTGGCCTCATACGGGTCTCTGGTGGGACGGAGACGAGATGATGGAGCTCTTCAACGACGGCAAGTTTGAAAAGTGGAATTGGAACACATCTGCGGTCGATCGAATTTTGAAGGTCAGCACCTACGGAGGCACTCTATCGGGTAGGTACGCCCAGTTCATTGGCGACATCCTTGGCGACTGGAGGGAGGAGGTTGTTGTGACTAATGCGGACGCGGATGAGTTGCTGATCTTTACGACGGATAAGCCGAGCGACATCCGGCTGTATACTCTGGCGCACAACCCGGCTTACCGCAACGCCATGACGCTGAAGGGCTACATGCAGTCTAGTCACGTCGACTACTTCATTGGAAAGGATATGAAGGAGCCTCCTACGCCGAACATCAGATATGCGGGTGCCTAGAAGCTAAAATTCAGCACTACGGTGTTGAAACCCCACGTCGGCAAACCCAGGTTGAGACAGCCGAAGGAGGGATGCAACAATCAGTCAATTCCCGTTCACATTACTCATTCAGAGTTTCTTGTAGCTATTTATCTTCACATATGCAAAGAGTACAGTATATACATGACGGCAGTAGTCACACTGTATTTACATTGAATTCAACAATTTCTCACGTACATTAAGACCAACGTGGCTGGCGCTCCAGAACTCCTACTTATCCTTCCAAGCAGCATGTTCTTCTTCTTGAACAACCTTTCAAACAAGAGTCTTGGCGACGCAACGAATGCGGCGACCGGAGAAGTGGTTGTCGAGGTTGACGCACTCGCCAGGCAGGTCGCCGAGGTAGGCACCGGTGCAAGAGCCGCCGTTGCTGGTCTTGCCCTCGTACGCGAGCCAGGGTCCGTAGGTAGCGCCAGTAGCCAGGTAGACGGAGTGGGAGGAATCGTCCATGGTGACAGTGGCGAGCTTGACGCCGGTGTGTCCGTAGTTAAGCGATCCAGAGCTAGTCGCGAGGTGTTAGTTTATCATCTCTAGAAGGCTGTGTGAAGATTGACAGAGGACGCGGAAAGACGAGCAGAAGGGCCGGGTGACGAAGGTTATCATAAGGCTGAATGGGATGTTGACTTACCAATCGCCGCTCTTGTACTCGTTCGCCTTGTTGTTGGCTGCTGAGACGGTGGCAGCGAGGCCAAGGACAAGGGTACCGATGATGTTGTTGGCGAGCATTTTGCAAGGAATTTGGCTGCTGGGGATGAAAGATTGCGAGTAGTGGAGATCGGGACGAGTAGAGATGGGCGTGTATGAGGATGACAAGTAGATGTTGGTCTGTTATCGGAGCCTAAAGACCTCTTTATACCAAAATCTCAAGAAGACGAACAGCTCGCTGTCACCGCCGCAGATATTATCACGAGCCTTGTCGCGAAGGATTCAATGGGGATCGCACGATGGAGCTTGAACGCTTCCATCGTGCGATCATCGCCATCTCTCCGCCCCGCTGCCGACCGTTGACAGACAGGGCGTAGACACCACTTAAGCTCCACGCCGTTGCTCGGATTGGACATAGTTATCACGGAGAGGATCCGGGTCTGCGGTCTCGAAAGCACCGCAGGGTCCTTCGAGTCAGAGACACCGGTTCAGCCGGCGAATTGAGAACCTCGACCCCAGTCACAGCCTCGGGCCGCAACCTGGACCCTGTCGCTTGTGGAGGAGGTGGCTGAAGAGTCCACCTCAGGAAGGCACCTCAGTGGGTGTGTTCTCGGCTGCCTAGCTGGGGGTCAGAAGCTTGTGCCAACGGATAGCAACTCCGTTGGTGGGGAGTAAGCTGTTCCAGATGTCAACCAACATCAGATATTTTTAATCGTTTTCGGGGCACTTTTGGTCGACTCACAGTCACGACGACTCAAGCATGTTGTCAACTCACAGCTATGCTACTCAGTAACCAATGAATTTCACCGCCAAATAGCAGAAGGATTTGAAGCTAACAAGGTCCATAAATACTTGCCGGTGGCAATACGACAACCGAATTCTTCAAGCGGAACCAGTGGAAGGAGCCACTCTGAGGTGGGGCTTTGGCTAATATGGGACTGATCTCGGAGACTGTCTCCGTCACTTCTAACCCAAGCAAATCGGAGCAAAGATGCCCTCCAGAGCTGCCAACAGGGTGCTTTACACCGGATTTCAAGATAAATATAAATAGACTGGTATGTGAAAGTGTCACCAAAAGAGTAACGGGCCACCAATAGGTCTTAAATGCCTAGGATCCATGCAGCCATTGCTCCCCTTTTCATGAGCAAGACCAAGTCCGTCTCCTGTCCCATAGACTGACAACATTTGTATTGTTGACGATGCAGCCGGAACGAAGTGAAATCATAGCTAACTCATTTATACAATCGTTTCGAATCAGAGTGGGATGGGACAGTGCATAGTTCCGAATAAGCCGTAAGAAATCCTGAGGGGATAGTACCTTACTTTATGAACAACGACAGTAAGAGAGCATGATACGAGACAATGGCCACATACTTCACTCTGGAGGATGATACACATATTCGTGGACTGTGTGGACCGTTGACTAGTGGTTAAGTATGCCATCTGCGTGTGTAACACACACGGACAGTAATATAAGCAGGTAAATGTAGAAAAACCCAAGTAGACGTTCAGAGCCACGAAGCTACCAATGCATGAGCCAAGGGTGCGTATTGTAGCGAACGGACGCTAAAATATTATGTCCATCGAATTGAAGCATTGCACGCGATATGTTTCATCTGCCATATAACCTTACAATCGGAATTCCATTTTAACCTATAGAAATAGGTTTCTTGGCGCTGGAAGCGTGTTCAATCAATTGCATGAGTCCGACTTGACCTATCACAACGCCGCACATAGGGTCACAGCAGAACGACGGTGAATCGCGGGGTTGTCCATGGCGTTCTTTAAAAAAGCCCCCATTCAACTTCCTGTACTCATTGGCGATGCCTCAACCTCTCCTCGCGCGTTGAAATAATGGATGAGTCTTACACGGAGCATGTAAACCGTGGCGCCGATAATGGAGAGAAAGCCTTTCTCGACAGCTCGGTTCGACGGGCTGAGCCGCAGCACCCCAAGGGTCTCGAGGTGTGTATGACCAGGTTTCTGGATTCGTTACCAAAAAGCTTGGATAAAACCAATTTAATCTCTAGCGGTACATCAGTCACTCTGCTGTGGTGAACTTTGGTGTAATTATCTTAGCGTCATGGGAGTCCTTTGCTGTCACTTTTCAATTCGCCCTGGCCAACGGCGGGCCGGCTTCGATGTTTTACGGGTCTATCCTGGCTGGCTTTGGAGCGTGCGCCATTGGGTTCTCGCTTGCTGAGCTGGCATCTATGTAAGTGTTGCCATCACTTTGCGTGACCATCTCATGGTATTCACATAAGTTCAGTGATCCAACAGTCGGTGCACAATACCGGTGGTCAGCCAACCTTGCGCCCGGTGCAAACAGGTTCTGGGGTTTGTTGCAAGGTATCTACAAGATCTTTCGACTATTGTGTGGAATGATTTGAAGAATTCTGACGAGCTGTTCAAAAGGATGGATCACTACTGCTGCGTGGTGCTTCGCCTGTGGAGGTCCCCCATCCATCCTCGCGAATATCATCACGTCTTTGGCGATTTTCAATAACGAGGCCTACGAACCGCAACGTTGGCACACAAGCTTGATCATGATTGGTACTCTCATAATACCTTTCCTTTTCAACCTCTGGTTTCGTAAGCTGCTCGACGTGCTCGAGATTCTCGGCGGCGTCTTACACCTGGCTCTCTTCGTCGCCTTAATCGCCGTTCTCATTGCTTCGGGGCAGCGGAGCAGTAATAACTACGTGTTTAAGACGTTGACCTCAGATGTATCTGGCTGGAACAACTCTGGCCTATCATGGGGCTTGGGGCTGTTGACAGTAACGTTCTCTGTCACCGGCTTCGACAGCGTCATCCACATGAGTAAGCTTCATGGCTGACGCTGACCTCTCCTGGAAACAACCACTGATTTGCTTTCTTAGGCGACGAAGTCAAAAAAGCCCAGAAGAGGGTACCACGCAGCGTCATTCTTGCTTGCATCGTCAACTCGGTCATGCTAGTTGCATTCGTCATAGTCTTGTTGTTCTACATCGGCCCTGTGGATACTCTTTCCGCGGCTCTCCTTCCGCTGATCTACGTCGTCTCCAATGCAACAGGCTCCAAAGCTGGGACCAACGCCTTGATCTCACTCGTGGCAATCATCATTTTTCTTGCCCTGTTAAATATGCTGACGTCCGTATCCCGTCTCGTTTGGGTCTTCGCCAAAGACAATGGGCTGCCTTTCTCCAACTTCTTCTCGGTCGTAAGTGTGTTCCACCCTCAAGTACTCTACCCGAAAACCATATTTTAACAGTCTGTTGAAAGATCAACCCCACATTGAAACTCCCGGTCAACGCATTGCTCTTCATCGTCAGCATTGTCACGTGTCTTTCCCTCATCTATATCGCTTCCAGCACTGCCTTCAACGCCCTGATATCACTTCAAGCTCTAGCTCTTCACGTGTCATATTTCTTCCCAATTCTATTCCTATTGTTGCGACGAGTACGAGGCCCGATCCCACCATACGGTCCGTTGAAGCTTGGCAGCGCAGGTATCCCAGTCAATATCTTTGCCTTGTGTTACTTGGTCTACGTAGTACTTTGGATGCCGTTTCCACAGATTCTACCAGTTACCAAGGACAACATGAACTATGCTGGACCGATATTCGGTGCTGTTTTGGTTGGCGCACTGGCTGATTGGGTTTTCGGTGGCAGGAGGAGGTTCCAAATGCCTGTGAGGAAATACGGACTCTCATCTGCGGACTGAAAAGTCTACACCGAAATGGACGCGGGATGTTGGTCACTCGGGCGCAGGCAATTTTAGGAAAGGACTGATCTCTTGATAAACACTTGTCTTTAGGAATTTGCCCCGCTGAGCGAAGGGTTTCTCTTCTCGCTTCTCTGCTTAACCCTATTCGCTTGGCTACCCTTCAGACCTCTATGATATTGCATATTCAGAAAACTCAACTGAGCCACAAAGCGCAGAACTTCTCGATATCTTGAGCATGTGTCCGCACCTTCCTGAACAACGTCGAAATGGTAAACTAGATCCAACCAAGGACCATGTTAAGCTCTTTGGATGAAGTCTTGCAGCCGTGAAAGTATTCGACGCGGGAATAGTAGCCGTAGTGAGGACTGCACGCGTAGCTGGGGCATTGGCTTGGGTGCTTATATCAGGGGAATCGCTGTTATGATTTGAGGTCGAGGGCATGGTACCAATGCTAAAGAAAACCGTAGCAACTGACCCTATTGGCGCTTGTATGTGTCAAGCCTAGTAGGAGCGCCTTGGAAGTCGGGTATGGCGCATGTTGACTTCGGCGGTACATCAAAGCAATTAACGACCGCGGACGATGAAGGATCGACGGCTAGGCAGAAAACCCGATTGACTCCTCCACTGTTCATGATACTGAGATTCGGTATAGTGAGGTCCACACTGCCGGGTGGGACGGACGCAGTGTACTTCTTCGTTGCGGCATCGAAATTTACCGGGACACTAAACTCCTTGTTGGCGTTTGTTAAAGACATTCCGCTGACAATGCATCGTTGTTGCGCAATGGCAGTCAGGGGAAAGCTGAACGCCAGAAGATATGCTGCGAGGGAATGGAGCTGCATTTTGGTGAACACTTTTGAACAGTGATTTGACTGGTATGAAGGACAGGAGCCCCCGTTGGAGCATTTTGCGCAAAGAAGCATCTCGCTTTATAGATAGCTTGCTGCAAATTCTGTGCTTTACATTCCTTCTAGGGTCCCTTGAACGCGCAAAGGCTGAATGCAGTGTGAGATGGGGTCGTAAGTATTTCGGGGGTGGGCGGCCGGCGGGCGGCCGGACGGGGTCCCCTCCGCCGCCGCTCATCATGTACCGGCGCCCGGGTCACACGGCATTTTTCTTTGATCCATCGCAATCCGTGTACATGCAAGCAAAGGAATTCTGAAACAATCACTTTGACCCATGATGCCTCAAAAAAGTCTATTGAATTATTGTAAATCAGTTGGAGTGAGCCTGATGCTGGACATAACCACAAGCTGACCTGGCAACTGAAGCGTCGTTAGCAAGTATCATAAGCAGCATCGACAGTCTACTTCAGTTGGGGGAATTGTATACTGGTCATGATTTGACTTAATTGGCGAATGCATAGCGCCTGTCTGCCAGCCAGAAGCTCTACGTGTTAATCGAAGAGTTCTTTCATCGATAGGCCCAAGCCGTACGCCATTTGTCCTTCACAAATGCTTGTAGTGACACCGCCCAATAGACCACATGAGGATCGTATGAATGGAAGTTAGGAGATAATGGCGTTGATTCGGCATGACCGAAGGCTTTTTCCTTGAGCTACAACGGTAAGTTATTTACCCTTGGTCACTTGCAACCCGCCGCACTAAATGATACAAACTCAAATTTGTGGATACAGTAATAGTAGACTGCGGCCGATGTGTCATTTCCCAGATCACATAAGGCGGACTTAGAATGTTGTCTAGGAAACTGCTCATGACTCCGGGCCTAGAGCTACGGCCTCCGAGGCTCCCAGCTAGGCCGGCCTTGGAGTAGTTACAATATTGCAGGTACCTAAACCCCTATCGCCACAGCGTCCCACGCAACAACAGCAATCATCCATCATGCCCCTTGAGCAAGACTCATCGGTTTGCCTCAAAATGCAACACCCCCTTATAGCGAGTACATATGGCTGACAGCTGAGTTCGTAGTCTTAACAGGAGGGCTATTTAAATCAACCACAGATCGACTGCTCGCCTGTGATGAATAATCCTATCCTACCGTCGGTCCAGTAGAAGCGCCAAGTAATAGAGGTGATCTAACTCCAACACGTAATCAATAAACGGGTTAATTGAAGAAATCTCCCTACGGTATGTTGCCGAAGATAATCTGACATGGGGGGTCTTGGAAATTCCATATAAACTTCATCTTCATCGTTACGAACCCTGAGGCGACATGGTCTCCGTTACGCATCTTCGATGCAGCTTACATTGCCTATTCACTCGTTCCAGCCCTCTTACAATGGAAACCTTTGCATATTCCTTGCTTCTGATGGCTTCCACAGTTGCCACAGCTGCCCCTCTCGAGTCTTCTGCGGAAAATGTATCTTTGGCCGCGCGTAACGACCTCTTTGCTAGGGTAAATCTATTTCCTCACTATCGAAGTTGCTAAAGTCTAATTCTTTCGCAGAAAGTCTGTGTTATTGAAGATGGTATGAGTTGTTACTATGAAGGAGGAGACTGTTATTACCATGATTGCTGGGACTGCAAGTGTGATGCGACTTGGAGGGGTAAGAAGCTGACGCGGCGAAACTGTACCGATTCCACTTCCTGTCCTACTCGGTCCTAGATCTAGCTACTGCATTGGGAAGGCCAGTCATATATGAATTCGGTGAACGCATACACTTGATAATCAAGTCTGAACTTTCACTCGCATTTTTACGATGATAAATTGAATTTCTGTCATCTCTTTCTGAAAAAAACAAAACAAAAACTAGTGATATCGTGGCTCCAGGGTAACTCGTATATGATCTCTATCTAGCAGCCCTTTGGGTGAGAAAGTCAAGACTCAATGGTGGTGACACTTTTCAGGGTCTCTGTCACGGTCCAAAGTTTGAAGCTGCCGTAAGGGATCAGCCGCGGGTTCCTTGGCCGTCCCGCAGCAAGAAAGCCTGAATGTTACAATACCAGCATCCACCGAGATGAGGTAAGGTACATTCGAATCCATATAGTTGGCAAACAAGCACTCGAAAGATAGAAGCACTTGTAAAGCCGCTCAACTACAGCGGCATCAATGTATCGTTAGGGAGTTTACTCAAAAGTCAGCATCGCGATATCTTTGTGGCTGATCTAAGCATCTAATGGAACACCCGATTTATGGACTACATCGTCATCTTGTTGCACTTCGACGCAACACTCTATAACTAATCATACTATTTACGTTTCATCCCCCCTTTACCCCACCACTAGACTTTGATGAGTTCCTCCGGCCCCTTTGTCGCTAAGGCTAGGCGCACGTAATGTGCCCACAATGATTGGCTGGAGGAAGACGGGATGTCGTCGAGATTAAGTAGGGCCAACAACATTTCATCCAGTCACGGCATAGGAGAATAACATGTTTTCGGTATGGAAATCACGGGTCCCGAACGGCTGCAGGCTGGTCTAAGTGATGCCATGTGGCAGTTCATGTCGAGGATCTACACTGCCGCAAAGAGTGGGGCACGGACGCCGCGGGGGCCAGTGCCTGGCGCTTAACGGCCCAAATCAGGATCGTGCCCCACTTGACCCCGGGCACGGGCGTCCGCGGCGCTGACGAGATTACGAATAAGTCGGATCCTCAGACACGAAGCCCAGCAACCTGACGTTTTTCCTTCAGAAATAACTGAGGCCTAATCTCCTCAGTCGTGAATATTGCTCCCTCAGCCACATAACGATCTGTGCCGAGGACACCGAAGGAATAACTCCCTACCCGCTGCTCCGTCTCCGTCACTCCGACGGTCGTTATGATCCTGCGCACCGAGCGATGAAGCGGGACCTCACCTCGACGTCAAATAGTCCAAGGCCAGGAAGCCGTGTCTTGCGAGTTTAAACTGCTATATATGATTCAAAGTCTGTCGCTGGAACCGGTAGCCCATCATGTCGTCAATCACCAGGCCGGAAGCCCAACCAACCCTTGAGAGCAAACAACACCCAGCACCCGACAAGCGACGCAGAGTGTTCAGTCTATCACGGAGGTCTTCGAGAAAGAGTTTCAGTATGGCGGCCAAGACCGTCGAGATCCCGGAGCCGCCCCGCGTGCCGCTCCTCGGCAATGTTACGGACATTGACATGGAGTACCCGTTGGGATCGTTCCTCCACCTCGCTAACAAATATGGTGGGCAACCCTTACTTGAACTTGACCAAGTAGCGTTGCATCCCGCCCTGCTAACTCTCATTTAGGCCCCATTTATAGAGTAGACATTCTCGGACAGAAGTTGGTCTGGGTTAACACACACGCTCTGGTTAACGAAATTTGTGACGACAAGCGATTCAAGAAGAGTATAGAGGGCGACTTGGAGGTGAGTGCTGCCTTGTATTTTGGATTGATGGTTATTTAACCCAGATGTCGTAGATCCTAAGAGAAGCAGTACACGATGGTCTGTTTACCGTAAGTAATATCCCTGTCAACAAAGTTGACAATCAGGTAGTCTCTAACACATCTTCGCATAGTCCAAAGGAGTGGAAGAAGAGAACTGGGGAGTGGCCCATCGAGTTCTGATGTCAGCTTTCGGTCCCCTGTCCATCAGAGGAATGTTTGACGACATGCACGATATTGCCGCACAATTGGCTATGAAGTGGGCCCGACACGGTTCTTCAACGCCCATCCCCATCGGCGAAGACATGACGAGACTCACAATGGACACCGTGGCACTATGTTCCATGGGCTTCCGATTCAACTCGTACTACCGCGAAGAAACGCATCCCTTCATCACTGCCATGTACGCAGTATTGAAGGAAGCTGGCGACAAGGGTCTTCGAGTCCTCCCTCAGGTGTTCTACAAGAAGCAGGACAAGAAGTTCAAGCAGAACATCAACATGCTGCGCACTACAGCAAGAGAGGTTTTAGAAACCCGACGTTCGGACCCGACCGGTGCGAACGGACGCAAAGATCTGCTCACGGCTATGCTCAACACTACCGACCCTGTCACTGGCCGGAAGATGACGGATGATAGCATCATTGACAACTTGATCACTTTCCTCGTCGCTGGCCACGAGACGACTGCAGCTACCTTTGCCTTTACAATGTATTGGATGATTAAGCGTCCGGAGGAGTATCGTAAGGTTCAACAAGAGGTGGACAGTGTCGTCGGAGACGGTCCTATTCGTCTGGAACATGTGAGCAAGCTGAAGTATTTGTCTGCTGTAAGTCGTTCAACGTCCTCCTTCCTAGTATCAGTACTGACCTCAACTCAGGTACTTCGAGAAACCCTCCGCTTCAGTGCTCCTATCCCGGGCTTTGGAAGAGAGGCAATGAAGGATGAGATCATCGGCGGCAAGTACCCTGTCAAAGCTGGTGAGATGATTGTTGCGAACTTGGCCAAGTCGCATTTCGACCCGGCGGTCTACGGTGATGATGCCGACGAGTTCAAGCCTGAGAGGATGCTAGACGAAAACTTCGACCGTCTGATGAAGGAGTTCCCGAACTGTTGGGCCCCCTTCGGCACAGGCATGCGTGGTTGCATTGGCCGTGCATTTGCTTGGCAAGAGATGCTGCTCGCCCTGGCGGTTCTATTCCAGAACTTCAACTTTGTCTCTCATAACCCCAACTACGATCTCAAGGTCGCCCAGACGCTCACCATTAAGCCGAAAGACTTTTACATCCGCGCGATTCTGAGAGAAGGACTTACTCCTGCGCTTCTTGAAGCGCGCTTGGCGGGCTCTATCGTCGCTACAGGGGCCAACGCGAAGGCTGCAGCAAAGACCCAAGCCGAGAAGACCCCATCTCAGAGCAACGGCACCAACGGCACCTCGAAAGGCGGGAATCTGGCTGTGTTTTACGGTTCGAACTCCGGCACGTGTGAGTTCATGGCTCAACGACTTGCCAGTGACGCTCAATCGCATGGGTTCAGTGCAACGGTCGACTCCCTCGACACAGCCAGAGAGGCTCTGCCGACTGATCGTCCAGTGGTCATTGTCACATCCTCCTACGAAGGACAGCCGCCACACAATGCCGCACTTTTTGTTGACTGGTTGACCAACCTGAAGGGCAAAGAGCTTGAGAACGTTTCATATGCCGTTTACGGTTGTGGTGAGTCTCTCCTACCATTTCGTACCCAAAGCCATCTACTGACAATGTCTAGGACATGCCGATTGGGTGAAGACACACCAGCGTATTCCCAAGCTCGTTGACTCATCGCTAGCTGAGCGTGGTGCAACTCAGCTGATTCCTCTCGGGACGACTGATGCTAAGGACCGTGACATGTTTTCCGACTTTGAGGCATGGGAAGACGACATGCTGTGGCCCGCACTGGTGAAGCGCTTTGGTGGCCAGTCTCAGGCAGACGACAGCAACCTCTCTGACACGGGTATTTCAGTCTCCTTCTCAACGCCCCGAACGTCGACTCTTCGCCAAGATGTCAGAGATGCACTCGTCCTGGATTCCCGCCCTCTTGTCCAGGGAAATATTGGCCCTGTCAAGAGGCATGTGGAGATTCAATTGCCGACCAACATGCGCTACACGGCAGGTGATTATATGGCTGTGCTCCCGCACAACCCCAAGGACACAGTCGCCAGAGTAATGCGCCGCTTCCATCTGACCTGGGACTCGCACGTCACCATTCAGGCTTCGGGTCCAACCACGCTGCCCACCAACAATAGCATTCCCGTTTCTGATGTTCTCAGCTCCTATGTTGAGTTGTGCCAGACTGCAACTAAGAGGAACATCTCAGGGCTGGCACAGCTGGCAAAAGATGAAAAGGTTCGCAGCGAGATTCAACATCTTGCCGGTAACAGTTACGACTCCGAGATCAAGACCAAGCGATTGTCAGTTCTTGATATTGCGGAGCGCTTTCCTTCGTTGACAATTCCTTTCAATCACTTTCTTCTGACGCTGCCGCCCATGCGGGTTCGTCAATAGTAAGTACACACCACTTGTAATATTCTTTCAGGGCGCAGTGCTAACCACGCGGTATTCAAAGCTCGATCTCGTCGTCCCCACTGGCAGACCCCGGCGTCGCAACACTGACCTATGGGGTTTTAGACGAACCTGCACTTTCAGGTCAAGGCAGACACATCGGCGTCACCTCATCTTACCTCTCTTCTCTCACGGCAGGCGATAAGGTGCAGATTGCTGTCCGCCCAGCACAAGGAGGCTTCAAGCTGCCCCCAAACATGGACAAGACACCACTTCTCTGTGTCGCCGCCGGAACAGGTTTGGCACCCTTCCGTGCTTTCTTTCAGGAGCGTGCAATCCTCATTGGCAACGGATTGCCCTTAGCGCCCGCTATTCTCTTCTTCGGGTGCCGCGACCCGGCTGCGGACGACTTGTATCGCGAAGAATTTGACAGATGGGAGGCTGCAGGAGTACTCACGGTCTACCGGGCATACAGCCGTAAGCCGGAGGCCTCGGACGGGTGCAAGTATGTTCAGCACCGCATCTGGAAGGAGAGGGAGATGCTCTACAACCTTTGGGATCAGGGTGCTCGGGTCTATGTCTGTGGCTCTAACCACGTCGCCGAGGGCGTTAGGGATATTGTGCTGAAGGCTGCGCATGAGAAGAGTGAGAAAGACGACGGAAAGCCGATGACTGAGGAGGAGGCGGAGGAGTGGTTCAATAATATCCGCAACGAGCGGTATGCTACTGATGTCTTTGACTGAGCAACCTTTCCTAGTTACTTTTCATAGCTATTCGGAGTTTAGACAGTATAGACAAAATGATCACGAATTATCTCCTATCTTCAACCTCAAGTTCCTCCATCCCATGCCTGCCAAGTCCCCACTTACTCCAATACTTCGTCGCTGTGACAGGCAGCCGTCCCCACCATCCCGATTCCTTTCTGATCCTTCGCATTCGGATTTCCAACTACATCCGGAAACACGTCACGGCGCATGGACCGATTGCATATCCTTCATTAGCCGAGTCGATAGCAACCTTCACTGGAGCTGACCGTGTGACTCAAAATGTTGCTTTTTCACAAACAATCACCACTAAAGCAGCGGGAAATGTTCGTGGTGACACGATCCAGGTCATATGTCCCAAATGAGCATTCTAATGCATCTTATTCCACTACGCATTACAATCTAGCCAAGCCAGCTAGACACGCAAGCACTGCACAAGCTCATGTGTCCGACCTGCATAGCCAAACTCAATCGCACGTGGCAGGATCACGACCCAGTCAGCCAAGCATCGCCGTTGCAGCGCATCTCCGACTGGCGTGGTTCGTTCCTGGCCTGAGGTCGGCGGGCACGGATGAATTCGCCTGAGCGCAAAAAGACGGAAAACTTTGCTTTTCAGTCGTCACCGATTGATTGTGATGCCGTAATGCCGCTCGGACAGACTTCGTCACAGCGGCCCGCGGTCATTTGAAACATGGGACATCTGGTCGTCCGAAGTTGCCGCGACTCTGGTTGTTATGGTTCCTGCACGCGGGGTCCAGCACCAGTGGCTGAGCTGATGGAAGAAGTGCGCCATGCCGAATGATATAATTCCCGCGTTCCCGGCCTAGTTCCCATTGTTTGAAACTTCCTTCCCTCAAGTACCAGGCGTTCCCCGGTATTTGTATAGCTGCCTCGTCCAAACGGTCCTCCGAAGCTGCCATCGGTCTTTGATGCCACCACCCCAAGCTAGTATCTGACGTCTCATCGAGCTGCGAAAATGCCGGGATTGAGCTTCGACAAGGAATTCTGGAAGGCCGCTGGCCCGGTCCTTGCCATCAGACCACCAGGGCAAGCTAGAACAGCTCTCCAGCTGCGCGCGAGAACCGACGTAGGCTTGGCCTCGTTATTGAAGGGACCGATACCAGAGGAGATCGTCGAGACGCAGCACCAGATCACCTCGTTCGATGGAGAGCAGATTGTTGTGTACCAGTTTGCGCACAAGGATGTGGACTCGACAGTCAAGCATCCAGCGTTCATCTATGTTCACGGAGGCGGCCTGGTAGCTGGCGACATCGATCCATATAGTCGCCTCCTCGCTGCGACGTGTGCCCTAGAGACCGGTGTTCAGATGTTTGCGGTCGAGTACCGGCTAGCACCCGAGTTTCCGCACCCCACTCCCGCGGAAGATTGCTACGCGACTTTGAAGTGGCTCAGTGAGAGCAGTGAGAAGCTCAACATCGACTCGAAGAGGCTGGGATTCTATGCGCTCAGCGCTGGTGGTGGACTCGCGGCGGGAGCGGCTCTGATGGCGCGCGACCGAGGTCTGTCGCCTCCTCTTGCGAAACAGATGCTCATATATCCGATGCTGGACGATAGGACGAAGGTGGAGAAGGACAATGAGCTGTGTCAGTTTCTGACGTGGACGAACCTGCAGAACCAACTTGGGTGGAATGCATACCTGGGAGGGAAGGCAGGGGAGGCTGATGTGCCAGAATACGCTGCTCCCGCAAGAGCAACGAACCTAGAGGGCCTTCCAAACACTTACATTGACGTTGGGGGGCTGGATTTGTTCTGCGCAGAGTCAGTGACGTACGCGAGCAGACTTGTGTCAGCGAACGTGCAGGTGGAGTTGCACGTTTATCCGGGGCTGCCGCACATCTTTGATCTTTACGCTTCGAAGATTGAGCTCGCACAGCGAGCGAAGGAGAATAGACTAAAGGCAGCAAAAACTTTGTAATGGAGATGGATGATATCAGTAACGTGGGGCACATCTGTCAACGCGCAGCCGGAGTTTAGAGTCAACTAAACAAATTGATAGTATCGCTAGACTAATCAACATAATTACACTGGGTACGACGTAGGCGCCATAAGAACTTGATTTTACTGAAAGGTATCTTGAATTTAGTTTCAAACCAATGAATTCTAAATACGGGCTATAAGGTACTCAGAACGAAGTCCTGGCGAGTTCATGTTGCACCACAACAGTGTCCCAACTGTTACTGGAACGGAGACATGTAAGTCTTGACAACGCATAGGTATTCTTCTTTTCCGTGGTTGTCACTATACTGAGACTACTTCAAGACCATGTTTTTCCTTTCTCGACTATGTCCTAGGACATCAATACACATTTCAATCCTCGAGAGATGTGCGCCTACGGAAATCGTCGTAGTCGAAATGCTCCTCTTCGTCAAACGAACTTCTGGCGAACTCGGGCTTACATTTGGCCAGGATGAGAGAGCAATTTTCCTCGAACTTATGAGCCATTGACATGTATATCCCCAGTAGCTCCTCTTCGGCCTCCTTCGTATAACAATCTTCAAAGTCTGGAAGAGTCCACCTTGCGTAAATCCTAGTGTGAAACGGCCGGCATCTTATGCCAGCAACGTACAAATCACAGAATTGCTTGCACATGAGGCAGCATGGCTTGCTCGTCGCAACATAGCGGTGGTCGCAAAAGAATTTGCTGGTGTCTGAGCTTTCAGAGAAATTACCGCTTCCGGGCCTCTCGCTGTAGAACCAATGTGTTAGGGCGACCTCCGCATGGACGATGCGGTGGAATCCGACTTCGTTCCCCTCACGCGACTCGCCCAAGAGCCTTTGAATCTCAGCGTGCACTTTCCTAATGTCCTCTGAGCTCCAGAGATCCTTGCGGTATTCGCTCCTGTTGAAGTAGTTGGTGAGATCTTGGAGAGTCCAGTCGACTGGTACTTGCCTTGCAGTTTTGGGTGGGACGAAGTTAACCACAGGGTTAGCAAACAATTCATCGTACTCGGTCCTGGCTTGGAAGAAGGCCCTGACACTGGTACGGTAGGACTGAAGTCTTTCTGCGTAATGAAAAATGGCACCCCAGCAGTCGGGTATCTCAACGTTTGCATCGCGTAAACATTTGAAGAGTCTATCCTCGTGCCCAATGAGGACTCCGCAGTTTAGAATAAGATCGCGATACTCTTGACGATCTGCAGCAAACTTTTAGTGGGAAATCGCAGATTTACTGAAGCTTTTGGTAACTCTTACCAGTTCCTGACTTTGTCTTTGAGGCCTCGATATCAAGAAGAATGTTTTCGAGTGTCTCATTGAGGTCTTTGTTCAGTATGAATTGCTTACACCTTTCCATGAATTCCTTCACGGCCTTTCCCAGCCGCTTTCGGTAATACTTGATCTTGATGATATTGTCTCCAATGACGGTACACAACAGTTGTTTGTATGCTTCGGATTGCAGAAACACACGCTCATCTGTCTCCTGAATGCTGCGTATCTGTTCCAGAATTTGCTTCAAAAAGCTCAAGAGCCCATCTCTGTCTGCACTTTCATCATCTCCCGAAGCTGAACTGTTACGTGTGACATGGAACACATACTCAGCTGACGGTCTCTCCTCTACAATGATGGCAGTAACCATATCAGGTCCGATTCGAAAGCTACAAACCTCTGCTAGTGCGTTGAGAAACTCCTTGAAGGTCTCGGGGATGCCGTTCCTCCTGTCCGGGGTGGGCCGCGGTAGCCCCAGCAGTCCTGGTGGAATGGGCCGATTCTGAACAGTCTGGTTGTAATCGTCGTCCATGAGGATCCGGAGAGCTTCAAGCAAGACGCAATATTTGGCGAGCTGCTTTCGGGTATCTTCTGGTTCCATATTGATGGTCTGGCTGTCGCTGAATGACTGAGAAACCTTTTGCCTCTAGTGTTAAGTTCACGTTTTCGGTGAAGCTGGCAGATTGCACGTCCCTGAGGGTTGAATGTCGACGGTGAGGCCTGAAAATCCCGTGATCAAGACCATGTGTGCCCATGGCTATCCAACGGGCAGATCTATCAACTTACCTACATATTTATATTGGACATCGGAATGAGTATTTCCAACCGTCAGCTTATGAACTGAGCTCTGTCAACAGTCATTTCGCATGCGTGCCACTTGTTGTTTGCAAGTCCCGATTGCTTTCACATGAGTAGCAATGCGAATCGCTGGTTGAGCTTGTCGCACAATACACGCACAAGCCGAGAGACACACTGAAATCATCCAATCATGTAACCTTCTCAATTAGAACCAACATCTGCGAGAATGAAAAGAAACATTGATCACTTGGCGATGAAGATTTATAGATGCCGTTTGATTAGATGTTTGTAACATGGCGATTATGCTCGTTTCAAAACTCCACTGCCCTAAATAGCATCTGCGGGCTATAAGGGCCCTAGCTACGATGTTCTCCTGGCCAAAATGGTGTTTTCCCTTAACCTAGGTATGTTAGCAAACCAAATGCTGTGAACCATGCATGATGCACCTATGACTGTCCATTAGCAAACATCATAATCCCACCCCTCATCTTGCCAGTAATGTGATATTGAGACCCCGAGGTTCAATCGAAAACTCACGCCATATCTCGCAATTCGGTACTCACACGAAACTCCGGCTTGTTAGGCTCTATCAATGGGCTGGGAAATCTCGGCTCAACTGGGCACTGGGTACTTTGGAAGTTCAAGAAGTTCCCTCAGGCGAAGACAGCAAAATGCCATCCTGTCTCATACTACCGTCTTGGGCATGCTGGTCTAGAATATCAGTGAAAGAGTCCGGAATTGGACAGACCTCACTTTAGGCGGATACCAGGGTGCATGTTCATATCATGCACGCCACATGGCCAACCTTGGAAGGGGAATGGCAATAAATTGAATATGCGAAGTTAAAGTAAAGTGGGACTCGAAGAGGCCCTTCCAGATTCTTCAGCACCTCATTGACGAACTGGCCTAGGTCGCACTGGAAATCTCTCTTGGGCGTTTATTGAACCCAAAGGTGTGGTTGGCTGTAAGGGGCTGGCCCCTAGGCTTGTTCAACGTAGAGGTGCCGTCGATTGACTATTCTAAGCTGAAGAAGGAGGAAAGGACTTTACAGGGATAGGCGCCTAGCAGCAGTGATGCAGACCGGGGCTAGGCGGTGTGCTACGGCAGAATAGTGGATCCGGCGGAGCCGGATCTCGG